CACAAAAGAAGCCAGACTATCTACTTCTTTTTTTAACTAGACCCCCCTCCCCCAGTCATTTCCCACATTACAGAGCTGCAAACTTGGCAGTGCCATCATTTCTATAGGGAGCTGAAGCCAGCCGCTGCCCTGGCTCTCTGAATATACCCATGTGATGCATCTCAAGTATTCGCCAGATTTATTTATTTAAAACATTTATTAGCCACTTTTCTTCCTTACACAGCTCAAGGAAGCTTACAACATAGATAAAATACATAAAATAAAACACATTTTTAAAAACCCATAAAAACCAGCACTTAAAATCATGATTCAGGACTAGGGATGGGCACAAATCTCATCATGAACCTAAACAACTGAGGTTCATGCCACCTTGCTTAATCGACCCTCCCACAACCCTCCACGTGGTTATCGGGAGGTTCACACGGCTCATGGGAAGCGGGGGGGGGGTGAGAGGGAGTGCTGAAATGGCTTGCATCCAACTCAGCCTAACAGCTGACAGCCACACCAGCCAAGTGGGGGGGGGGAGCGAAAGGGATAGCTGAAATGGCTTGCATCCATTTCACCCTAACAGTTGGGTTTCCAAGCGGGAGGTGGGGAGAGGGGCTGGTACGCCTGACAGCTGCTAGGCTAAAATGAATGCAAGCCATTTCAGCAATCCCTCTCACTCCAAGTGGGGGGGGGGGGGAAGAAAAATGGACAGATTTAATGGCTCACAGCCATTTAACCCTTCCCGGGTGATTCCCCCCCCCCTTGTCCCAGCTGCGGCTTGCCATGGCCGGGAGAAAGGCAGCACGAACCGACCCATTCAGTTTGGGTGGTTTGGATACACTCCGAACTGAAATGTTCTGGTTTGTGCCCCTCCCTACTCAGGACTACTAATAAACATAATAAAATGCAGTCCTCAATAAAACCGTCTTCATCCACATCCTAAGGATTCAAAATGAGGGGGCCAGGTGCACCTCCTTAGGGAGATGGTTCCATAATCACGGGGCTGCCACTGAAAAGACCCTCTCTCATGTACCCACCAAACAAACTTCTTCAATTGGTGGGGCAGTCAGGAGGGCCTCTCCCTGTGATCTCAGTTCCTGGACATGAATGTATGGGGAAAAATAGTCCTTCAGATACCCCGGTCCCAACTCATGTAGAGATTTAAAGCTCAAAAACAACATCATGAATTGGGTTCAGGAGTGGATTGGTAGCCAGTATAATTTATATACTATTGGGATCACATGCGCCCAATAACTGGCCCTGATTAGCAGTTTAGCCGCAGCAATCCACACTAGCTGCAGCCTCCAAACACTCTTCAAGGATAACCCCAAGTATAGTGCATCGCAATAGTCCACGCTAGATTTAACTAGGGCATGGATCAATGTGGCTAGATCTGATTAAACCAGGAACGGATGCGCCAATGTTTTCCAACTGTTGCTGCTTTATTCAGAGCTCTGCAGAGAGAACTGCCACATGCAGCAACTCAAGAATGATGTGACAAACCACAGAACACTTGGAGGAAAGACATAAGGTAAGAAACTGAAGACCCAAGTCTAGGAAAGAAGAAATTCCAAAAGATCAAACTATAAGACAGTCAAGAACAGAGACCTTTCATTTCTAGAGCAAACAAGAAAGGGGCAAGCTGTAAACTGTAGATGGATGTGGGGCTAAACATTAGAGGGGAAACCCTTAATGAGAAAGATACATGCAATAATGCATGGAGGAGAGGGAGGAAGCACAGTTCAGCATGGGCTTTGCATGCTCAGAGATGCTTGCTTATTTCCCAGAAACTCTAAAAAGCAACTTCCAGACATGAAAGGCAACAGAGATGGGTCAAAGGTCTGATGCGGTTATAAGGTAGCTACACAGGAATTCTGAAATTCTGGGACAGGTTACAGCTCAGTGGTAGAGCACTTGAAGAAGGTCCCAGGTTCAATCACCAGTTAAAGGAATCTCAGACAGCACAGCTGTTCTCAGAGGAAAAGCCACAGTCTAGCCAAACTGGGCTAGATGAGCCAATAAAATGTATTCTTATCAGGCAGCTTCACATAGGACAAGCCAATCAATTTGGAGATCTCCTTCCCTGACCCTGGCCTGGTGGAAGTCTCTGCCTAATGACAATCTCACTCTGCGGGATCTAAGTGCACAGATGTTCCACCAGGCCCATGGTTCGACATCAAGCCTGGCCTCCGTCTCTCTTCTCCCCTATAGGATAGGATATAAACTGGATTCAAGCGCCATCTGGAATAGTTTGGAATTGTATTGGTTTTATTGTTTTAACTGTCTTAGTCTCATTTTAAATGTTATTAATGAAATGTTGTTCACCCCCCTGAGCCCTCATGGAGCTGCCTTATACTGAACCAGACCATCGGTCCATCAAGGCCAGTACTCAGACTGGCAGAGGCTCTCCAGGGCCTTAGGCAGAGGTATTTCACATCAATTACTACCCAATAGTTTTAACTAGAGATGCCGGGGATTAAACCTGGGACTTTCTGCATGTCAAGCACATATTCTGCCACTGAGTTACGCCTCTCTCCCCAAGTCAAAGAATAAAAGATGCCTATGAGCATGCAAAAAGTGCAATTCCCCTCTTCCTTGAGTAAGCCAGGCCAGCCTGCACAGGAAAGTTTGTCCCAGATGTTCAAGTCCAGCATTTCAGGTTCTGGAGATCACGCACTATGTAAATATAAGTCCCAAGCCTCAAGAACAGAACCACACACTCTTATAGATGCATCTTTCAGTGGTGCTACTATGCAACTGCTCATCCAGCTTTGCGTGGGGCAGCTGGTCACTATCCACCTCAGAGCCTAGAGGAGAAGTGCGCCACTTAGTTGTGATTCCAGCTAATCCATTACACACAGCATCCCATCTTTCTGCTTCATGGCTCTGAATTCTAGACAGGTAGGAACGCAAGGGGAGAGAGAACCCTCTTCTGCTTTATTTATTCACTTCAAAATTTATATCCTGCTTTACCATCTGCACAATGGCCACCAAAGTGGCTAGCAAAAAATGCACAATAAAACCACGTTTTAAAACCATTGGACTCAATTCCCCTCTAACGCACATCATCAGAACAATTAAACCCAAACATAAAACACACACTAAAAAAAAAAAAAAAACAGGGGAGGAAGCAGGGATCACTTAGGGAATGCCAGATGAAACAAAAAATGGTCTTCACCCACTGGCGGAAGATGGCAACAGAAGGGGACAGATGGATCTCCCTGGGGAGAGCTTTGGTGCTGTGACAGAGAAAACCCTGTCCCAGGTTGCCACCCACCTAATCTCAGAAGGCAGGGGCACACAAAGCAAGGCCTCTGAAGATAACTGCAGTGATCAAGCGGGTTCATAAGGGAGAAGACGGTCCTTCATAAGTGCTGGTCCAAAACCATACAGGGCTCTGAAGGATAAGACCAGCGCCTGGAATTGTGTCTGGAAACCAACTGGGAGCCAGTGTAGATGGGCCAAGACTGGAGTGAGATGGTCTGTACGACCCACTCCAGTCAACATCCTCGCTGCAGCATTCTGTGCCAACTGAAGTTTCCGAACACTTCTCAGGGGCAGCACTGTGCAGAGCGCGTTGCAGGAATCTAATCTAGACATTACCAGGGTTTGCACCACAGTGGCCAGATCTTTTCTGGCCAGGGAAGGCCACACAGCTGGCTAACCAGTCAAAGCTGGTATTCAGCAGCAGGCTTGGGTGCGAGGGCATCCCCAGAATACAGAGCTATTCCTTCAAGAGAAGTGCAACCTCATCCAGAAGAAGCAAGCTTGGGTGCGAGGGCATCCCCAGAATACAGAGCTATTCCTTCAAGAGAAGTGCAACCTCATCCAGAAGAGGTGATATCCCAGGTCAGACTTTCCACCCACTAGTAGCACTTCTATGTCATCAGGATTAAGCTTCAGTTTATTAGTCCTTATTGACTCCAAAACTGGTTCAGGGTTTCTATAGCCTCCCTGGGATCAGCTAGAAGCACGAGATCCATAGCTGACCATCTGAACAAAAACTTCAGAGCCTGACAAACTAAACCAAATGGTGGCTGCATCCACCCCCTCTCCAACTCTCTCATGCACAGGCTCTCCTGCTGTCTGAAGTGAGAGCTCCGATTTCTGGGGGGAAAGGTACATTTTAAAAGCCTGCAGATATGCATCCCAACAGCAAACACCAGGGTTTCGTTAACTCAAACCTCACTGCAATTAAGTGGCTCAGGACTCTCTCTGCCTCAGTCCCTCCACCTCAATCTGGGGAGAACAATGCTCACCTGCCTTTAAAAAAGTAAATATTTTCAAGGTAATTCAACTGTACCTGGGCCTGAAACCCTGTGATACACCAACTTTACACCTGCAGCCATTCTGGCAACACACAAAGACCAGCACTGCTACTCAAGAGCTATTTTGCCACTGAGCTACGGCCATTTAGAATCCCTCTGGCTCAGTTCACTGGAGCCCTTGGTGAAGATTTATCCTAGTAATACAGTTTCAGCGCACAAGCCCGAGACAAAATCATTTGCCAAAGGCCACCGTGACTCAACAGGCTCAACAGTCGCTTGCACAGCTCCCAATTCCATTTCAAAAACCAGCTGTACACATGCCATATGAATTTGTGAGGCTCACACAAGAAGTCCCCAAAAATGAAGCAGGTCATGGTGGCAAGCTGTGGTCCAATCTCGTGCGCTCATCACAATTTGTGCAAGCAGCAAAAAGCAAACTCCAAGCTCCGTTCCACTGAGCAAAGTTTCCTATTCCTGTTATGAGTGTAGCCAAGAGCTGCTTTCAGGAAAGAGGTTCTTTTCAGCCACTTGATTCCTTGAGAGCTCCAGCGACTCTGTCATGCTCCACTCCAAAAGGGCAGGCCGGCCACCAGGAAGGCAGCCAGCCGCAGCCTTGCTGTCTTTATACTAATGAGCAACGGGAAGAGCATGGAAACGGAGAATGAATCACCAATCATATTATGGCAGAGTTCAGGAAGAAAGCAGCATGCAAAAAAACACGGTAAAAGTCATGGTAAAACCTACCTTAAATCCTCTTGCGAGTGACCCTGTTTGCCACGCTTAGATCCAGTCTCGCGCAGGCAGCAGCACCCAGAGGGCCAAACGTGAACGTACAAACTCTCTAGCCAACTTCATTTTACTTTTTAGAATTTAGAAAAAAAGGAAAAAGAAAATCTTTGCAAATGCGCTCAGAGACCAAGGTGGCTTCTCTTCTAAAGCAAGACTTTTAAATGCACGATCCTAGAACAGCCCATCCCCCCCCAACAACTATCCACTTCTCCTCCCTTCATTTGCTTTAAAAAGAAATTGCACAAAGAATGGCTGTAAAAAGCCCAAAACTATCCAGAATAAACTTCAGGAAAGGTACTTGGGTTTTAAATCTCTTCTCTTTTTTCTTACCACCAGCAAGTGCACCCTTATTAACACCCAAATACAGGCAACAGTCTCTCCTGACCTTGCTTAATATTTCAATGATTTTTGAGATGAAAACCCATAAACCAGTGGGAAGATAATCATAAATACTTGAACTACAAACTTGTTAAACTTCCCTTTCACTTGGGATCCTCCCCCCATTATTTGCAATGAATGGTTTTTAAGGCTTTCTCACTCTCTCAACAACTTTTTATAACGTATTTTTTTAATTCATGGGATTGGTGACCACAGACTCTCCACCCCAGCACCTCCCAAAAGCAAAAGAGATATTAAACTTTCAGCTATCTGATTTATTCTGAAGCAAATCAGCCTTAGAATTTCCTTTCTGCTGAGATTATAGTTCCACACCTTTGCACATCTTTAATGCATTAAGAATCCAACTCCACAGAAATATGCCTCCCTGCCATATATGGCTAACCTACAAAAAGAAGGGATTATCAGAAATAAAGATGCTTAGTATATTCATATGGAGTGGGGGATGTTTGAACTAGAAGTCTGGCAGGCGTTCTCTCTACTGGTTTTAATCAACATATGTACAAGAAACCCCAACAGTTCTTATTCTCGCATCTACCCTTTATCATACATACCCTCCTATTTTCTTCATTTTCCCATTCAGCCGCAAGGAAAACTTAGGTTGCAGTCCTATGTACACTTACCAGGGTGTAAGCTCACTCAAAACAGTGGGACTCACTTCCAAGTAAACATGCACACAACTGGGATGTTAGATTTGTTTATCAGAAACACTGAGAGGAACATGCAGATTTCAGAATGCGGCATTTTCAAGGCTTGTAATTATAAGCGACTGCCCTTGCAATGCCTCCTCCTCCTCTTTTTCCTGCTACCTCACTCTTCCTTTGCCCTACCTCCTGCTTAATAATCACAAAAAAAAAAAATCAAGACCAACAAGATTAATTATCACAAGCATGGGGGAAACCACACAAACACAGTGCAGGGTTTCCTAGGTCTTGGCCCAGATTCCACAATCCCCTCCCTGCCTGTTCACTTCTTACAAGCCCTTCTACCCTGATGTTTCCCCCAGGAAGGGTCCAAAAAATGAACAGCACCAACCCACACTAGACCCTGCTCCTTTTCCAAACTGGCTGAGACCTTTATGTTTGCCACCCCCCCAAAAAAAAAAGCAGACAGGAATGGCAGTGAATAACTTTTTAAGGGAAGTGAACTGTCCTTCCTCTCCCCCACCAATTATATCTCCCCTTCTATTAACCTCACTGCCTTGGGTGGTGGCCAGAGTGGAGGGAGAAGGGACAGCAATTACAAGGAAAGGGGGCGGCTTTCCCCTCTCCAGTAATAATAAATTCTAACTCTAGCGCCCCTCAGTTTCCTCAAGCAAGCTTAAGGGAAGATGGTTAACTTGGGGGGGGGGGTAATTCTCTCCTTTTCCCCCACCAGTTCAGAACTCCCTTTCTGTGTTCCCACCACCTTCTTCAGGTAGACGAGGAGAAGGTGGCCTGGTCAGCACGGGGGTGGGTGGGCTCCTCCTTCTCCCTTCTGCCCCCCTTTCCTTCCACACACCCTCCCCAAGACAGACCCCAAGCGCCCCTCCCCACTCCTGTTCAGGGCCGGGATTTGCCGTCTAGGCCTCTCTCACTCTCTCCTGAGGGCCATCAGGGCAGCCATATTGGATCCATCAGCTTCTTTCCCCCCCGGTTCTGACCGAGCCTCGGCCGGGGCTGGAGCAAGAGGAACATCCGGGCAACCGGCACCTCCCTCTTACCGAGGCAGAGCTGCCTACATCCGGGCGTCCGCCGACCCAGCGACCTACTTCCTGAACTTCCGTCCCTTTTTTCATTCTTCCGGCCAGGTTGAAGCTGCCGCCGTCGCCGCCATTTTTGATGTTGGAACAAAAACAAAGCAGCGCGCGTCCATGAGGCCATATTTGTTAAGGGCATGCCTAGCTGACTTCTCTGCTATTGGAGATAACGGGAGTTAAGAGCCATCTTGGGCTAGAAATGGCAAGCGCGAGGAAGGGCAACATATTCCAAGACCGCGGGAGTGGACTAGTTTGAAAGGTGAAGCCCCACCCATTTCCTTTTGCAATTACCCCAACCCTTTTGAACTTTTTTCCAGTGCCACAGCTCTGAGCCGTTGAACCAGTAATTCTGATCAAAGTGCTTCTGAGCATATGCAAAGTGCTGACTGAAGTATAGGATACTTGAACACGAGCAATCTTTCTATTTTTGCACACCTGGCATTTGGTATGATACTTTCAAGCAGTCAAAGATCACACAATACCTTGCTGTAAATGAGCCCCAAATGAAAATATAGACATGCATTGTAAAAATCCTATTTATGAAGGATCACTTCACAAGGTGCACTATTACACACAACTGAAGAGTGTACTTTATATTGTCTTCATTTATTCCCCCAACAACCTGGCATATACACTGTTTTAAAAAACAACAGAGCGATCATTCTTCAACTCACTGACACATTTGGAAACATAATTGTTCTACAATATGTTGTTTATCTACAGCTCACATTATATCTCAGCAGCTGCAATGTGTGACATGATATGCTGTGCATTGCACAGTACATTAACATACATGCACATGCATTTACAAAAATGTGCAACAGACAAAATGTATTCAGCTGCTAACTCCTCATAGTTTTCACTTTTAGAGAATGGAACCCTGATCAACTATAACTGTCAATTCACAGTACCAAGATTTAAGGTATCACCAACATAACTGAGGCAAGCACTGTACTTAGAGAGCCAGTTTGGTGTAGTGGTTAAGAGTGCGGACTCTAATCTGGGAGAACCAGGTTTGATTCCCCACTCCTCCACTCACAGCTGCTGGTGTGACCTTGTGTCAGTCATAAGTTCTTTCAGAGCTGTTCTCTCAGGGGCAATTCTCAAGAGCGCTCTCTCAGTCCCACCTACCTCACAAGGTGTCTGTTGTGGGAAGGGAAAGGGATTGTAAACCGCTCTGAGATTCCTTCTGGAAGTGAAGGGTGGGGTATAAATCCAATCTCTCCTTCTTCTACTTGCTTATACAACAGCAAGCATGGTATTTGTTCTTTCTGCCTTCACAACAGTTATCAAGGAGGCTAACAATTTAGAACATACATGGTATGTTTCTGCCTTCACAACAGTTATCAAGGAGGCTAACAATTTAGAACATACATGGTAAATCACATTTTAAAGCCATTAAAATCAATCCCCCCCCCAACACAGATCATTAAACCAAATTAAAAAGAGAGTTTAGATACATAACAGATAGATTGTCAGTCTACAGCTAGGAAAACCAGAGTTCAACCCCCACTCTCCCATTACTCTTATTGGGTGACGACAAGCCACTCACTTGCCTTTTAACTGAACCTACCTTACAGAGACAACGATTCACCAGTGAGAGGGACCAGAAAATACAGACTGTCCTTGACATATAAGAACAATGTCTAAAGAAATACACTACACCTAACTGAAGGAGGGGAGACCCATGTATACTACCCTGAGCTTCTTTGAGGAACGGTGGGATAAAAGCATACTAGATAAGGCTGTATGATTCCTCATTTGGAAAGTACACACTGTTGCAGTTTATTCCTTCATCCAAATTTTCCTTCAAAAGCCAGGACTAGAAAGTGTTTTAAACTGAAAAAGTGACTGTGCAGGACTTCTAAAATTCAAAGACAGGTTGCACTTACATCAGAACTACATGGTTGAAATCTCAGATCCCACAAACACCCATAACAATGCATGTACATGAACACTAAGATCACAGGGTTGCCAACCTCCAGGTGATAGCTGGAGATCTGCCACTATTACAACTGATCGCCAGGCAACAGAGATCAGTTCACCTGGAGAAAATGGATGCTTTGCAGAATGGACTATATAGCATTATACCCCAGCTGAGGACCCTCCCCTCCCCAAACCCCACCCTCCTCAGGCTCCACTCCTGAAATCTCCTGGTATTTCCCAACCTGGAGCTGGCAATCCTAAACATACAATCTGCTTGTTTACAGCTGCTGAGGTTCGTTTTGAACTGCTAATAACATATTGCAGGATTATTAAGGTTTTCTAGTGCATCTTTAGCCAAAAGAACTTTCACTCTCTTGTTATCCCTAAATGATGCAAAGAGGGACATTGTAGAATAAAAGAATATACTAGCCAGGAAAGAGAAAAACCTTGAGACCTACCGAGAAATAATACAACAGAGGAAGAGAAGAGGAAGGAAGGAAAATATGAAATAAAAATATTGCTTAGTAAAACAAGGAAAAATAGGTTTTAAAAATAAATGTAACAAATATCCTCTTCTCCTTTCCCCTACATTCTTTAATGTAAGCGAAACTTCGTCTAGGGGACTGCTGAAGACAATATTGGACAGTGGACAAATCACAATTTTTTGTTCTTCTCACTTACGCCTTTCAATAGATATAATTAGAAAGTAGGGTAAAAGTGTTTCTCTCCAATTTCCCCCTTATGAATGACTTGAAAGATATTAAACCCCTACACTTTTCCATTCTACCTTTTTTTAATGCTTTCACGCTATTTTCTTCAACAACAAAATTAAGGTATTTTTTCTTCCACGCCGATTTTTAGAAGAAGGAACTCACTTGCTCCCTCCCAAAGCCTGGGGTGGACGACTTTTGTAACTGGACCCGGACGTATAGCGCTTGACCCGGAAGTACAGCCGCGGTAACTAGGAAGTGCCACTTATTTCGTTCCTAGCTTTGTAGAGTCGCCATTTTTCTGGCGTCTGTTGCTCGGGTTGGCCGCTATGGGTTCCTCCAAGCGGCACCGGGAGCGGGGCGAGGCCTCGGAAGACGTAGGTCCTCCACAGCCCCCTTCCTCTGGTGGGGGTGGCGCTGCCACCACGTCGTCCTCCTCCCGCCACCGCGAGCACAAGAAGCACAAGCACCGGAGTAGCGGCGAGAGTGGGAGAGAACGGCGGAGTAAGCGCAGCCGCAGCCGGGGCGAGCGGAGCAGCCGCCGGACTGGTGCGGAGGAGTCGTCCTCTCGGGGGAGTCGCGGGGGCGCCAGCAGCAGCGCTGCCGCTGGGGGCCCGGAAGGAGCGGCCGAAGTGGGGAGGCGACTTAAGAGGGAAAAGCGCGACGACGGAAATGAAGGTAGTCAGAACTCAGGTGAGGAGAGGATGAAAAGAAAACGGAGAAGAGGCAAAGAGGGTCCTTTTCCTGGCACCCCCGAACCTATTTAATTAGCCCCGGTGCAAGGACTAGTAATCGGTAGAAAAGAGCAAGAGTCCAGTGGCACCTTAAAGACTAACAACATTTGTGGCAGGTTATGAGTTTTCATAAGACTCAGTGCTCACTTTTTCAGAAGAAACCAAGTGAGAAGTGACTCACGAAAGATCCTACCCTGCCACAACTTTTGTTAGTCTTTCAGGTGCTACTGGACTCTTGCTCTTTTCTACTGCTACAGACAGACTAACACGGCTATCCATCTTAGCAATCAATGTGTGTCTGAGGACGACCAGAATACAAACAAATCTCACTCTTGTATTTGTGTGTTGGCCTTCCTGTGTAAGCAACTGTGTCACTCTGTTTTGTTTCCAACACCAGCCATGTGCGGTAGATTAGGCTGAATGTGTGACTGACCCAAATTCACGCTTTGGGCTTCATGGCAGAATGAGGATTCGAAGTCTAGTCTGCTGCTCAAACTACTATACCACACTCTCTCAACAGCCAAGTGCCAGTCTGGTGTAGTGGTTAAGTGCGCGGACTCTAATCTGGGAGAACCGGGTTTGATTCCCCACTCCTCCACTTGCACCTGCTGGATGGCCTTGGGCAAGCCATAGTTCTGATAACAGCTGTTCTTGAAGAAGAGCAGTTTCTTCCAGTGCTTTCTCAGCCCCACCTACCTCACAGGGTGTCTGTTGTGTGGAGGGGACGGGAAAGGAGTTTGTAAGCCGCTCTGAGACTCCCTTGGGTAGTGAAGGGCTGGGTATAAATCCAATCTCCTCTTCTTCAAGGGCTGCAGCTGTCCTTATTGCCTGTTCCTGCTATAATTTTTTCCTCTAGTGAGGTTTCTTAAAGTGGGGATAGATCTGTATTCCCAGTTCATTAAAAGGTGTGCCTATGAATGCTAGATAACAGGAACAGTACCTTACCTTTCAGAAATCTGTTATCGCCTGTAAAGAGTTTGCTAGTATTTATTGTTCTCCAAGATTTAGCTCCTTAGGGTCTGGTAATTAAATCTGTGAGTAAGGAGTGGTTGTATGTTATCCCTTGTGTATGTTCATGCAAATGTCGTGCTGTCTAAAATACTATCCATGGCCTGTCACTCCGCACACCGTGATTACTGGTAATGTACTGAGGGCTAACTCTGGATTGTTGTTTTTTAAGTAGAGACACCAGTTGGATTTTAAAGCACATCCAGCTTTTTGCAGGGCTAATGTGTACAGAATCACAAATGGCATCAAGAAGAATCTTTAGGAATGAGTTAAGGTTCAGGTGGGCCTTAGACATGAGAATAGGAGTGTTGCAGCTGTGTTTTCATTTTCATCTGTGGAATGTTGGAGGGTGTGAATTGCTTGAGCCCCAGCATCTATCTCTCTCAAAAAAGTGAGCCCTTGGAGTTGAGGAACTAGTAGAAAGAAGATAGAAAATAAGTGAAAACAAAGAACTGGAGTTGTGGGAACCTGAACAGCTTACTTTTAAAAAAATTTCAAAAGTCAGTTTGGGCACAAAAGCAATCAGAACAGCAATAGACCAACATGTAAAAACAGCACTGGAAGTAGGAAATGCAGGGATAAATACATCCACTAAACACCTGGTAGCATTTATGTGTGTGTGATTTATTCCTAACAATGTTTCACTTGGAAGTAATTCTCCTCATTCTAAATGGGGTTTGCATGAACGGTGAACTTTAGGGCTGCAGTTGTGCAGCATAGGATTTGTCATTTGACCAGTTAAAGGTTTTGCTTAAAAAATGTTGGAAGCATTATCAAAGCAGCAACAAAATACTGTGAACATCAGCTAGTTTGGTACGGGAACTACCGAAACAAATACGTTAACTGTTACTATTGGAAACAACTGAACTTAAAAATGTTATAATCTGTGATAACTTCTAGCAAGATTTCAATAATCAGAAACAATTCATTGAATGATTGTTCTCTTCGGTTTCTTTTTTGGCATTCCAGGATTAGCCTACAGTTATAAACTTTTAAGATAATAAAAAGAAATAAAGCAAGGTAACACCAGTGATTTCTTTAAAAGGCAGTTTTGAAAGACAGCTATATTTTGCAGGGCGATTCTTGCTTGTTTAGCAGGTGGCCAAGAAGAGAAGGATTGCTATGGCTGTAAGGTTTGCTCCTGACTGCTGCCAGGCTCTGGGACAAGTTGCCCTCACTCCCGCTAACAAATGACCCTGTAACGAAATAAGAAAGGCTAGCTGCCACCTCTCTACAGTGGCATGCTTGGCTTTGTGGAATATTTGACCTATCAGTTGATGGACATGTAGTGTGATCCTTAGAATGCTTATTCAGAAGCCTCTCTGAATTCATTGGTGGCCTTTTCCCATGTGTGATTCTTCAGAAGATATGATGATTACCAAATTGTGCAAGCATAATCAGAAGCGTAGGACAACCTCCTCCCATATGACCTTGCCTGGGTGCTTCCTCACCTTCTGAGGTCAGGTGGGCAGCTGCTAGAGTTATCCGTGGTCGCTTTGGAACTCCCTAGGAAGGTTTGCTAGGTGCTGTCATAGGTATTGTGAGGTGCCAGGATAATCCTGTCCACGTTCCTGGAGCTTTCTGGAGTATGGTTTTGCTGTTGTTTTATGCTGCTGATATTCTTACTAACTTTATGTGGTGGTTTATTATTTTGGTGGGGCTTTGGAAGTGGAAAGGTACATACACATTTCTTAGAAAGAATGCAGGACATGTATACATTAACTAACAAATGCCTCCTTGTCTCCATGCAGCTGTTGTCACAAAGTCCAGCTCAGGAGATTCTTCTTCCCTCAGCATCGAGGAGACAAAGTAAGTGGGAGAGTTTCCCCCCCTGCAGTTTTGAAAATGCTTATTGCTGATGCTCGTATTGAGCTTTGTTCAATGCAATGAAATTGATAGACTTGTATATTCAAATAGATAGCTGGATAGTGCTTGTATGCCATTTTCTGTGCCCCCCCCCCCATGGTGTCCCATCCCAGGATTTGATCACCTTCAGCAGTATCATGGTTTCCGATGCTCTTAGACCACTCAGTGGGTTTTTAGCACATCTTACTCTGTCTAAAATCAAGCTGAAACAGCTAGATAGCACACTCTGTGTTGATCTTTGTAATGATCCCTGGAAAGCAGGATATTTCTTCTTGCATGTAGGGTTGTGGAGTAGGGTTGTATTAGAATGGCCCTGCTGGATCAGACCAAAGGTTTCTCTTGTCCAGCATACTGTTACCAATGGTGTCCAAGCGGATGCAGAATATGAAGCAGAGTGCAAAGGGAACGGTCCTCTTGGTCTGTTTGCCTCACAGAAACTGATAATCATAAGGCTGACTGCTTCAGAACATGGAGGTTCCCATTAGTCCATCATGGTGATTCTTAGACCTCCTCCATGAATTGGTCTGATCCTCCTTCAAAGTAATCTAAGACAGGAGCCATACGCTGCATCTTGTGGCAGTTAATTTCATGTTAATTAGGCTCGTTATGAAGTAATCTTTTCTTTTGTCTCTCTGGAATCTGTGGTTCAGAGGAAAAATAATTTCTCTCCCCTTTTTCCCCCACGGTGTCCATAGTTTTATAGACCTCTGGCATGTGTCTTTCTCCTCCACCCTCTCTTAGTCACATGCTTTTATTCCTCTACTAAATCCTCCCCCAAAAAATCTGTTTAAAATGCCTGGTTCAGACTTCAGTGGATTCGCCCATCCTGTACCCCTGAACAGTCTAACTGCCACATCAAGTAAACACATCATTTTCCTTTCTTTTTCTTTCCACAGCAAACTCAGGGCTAAACTCGGGCTGAAGCCTCTGGAGGTAAATGTTGTCAAAAAGGGTAAGTCAGATGCCTGTGTGAGACGCCACTAGGGGAGATCCTTTGCAGTTTCTCTGCCACTATGACTTCTGGGATTCCCACTTCCTCTGGCTCTTTTAAAGACAAGTTACGCATTGCCTCAACTGAAATGTAGCCCAAGCACTGTGAGCTCCTGGTTAAAGCCTGGCATTAGCCCACCTCTGCTCCAAGGCTTTTGCATGCTTTGCTTGGCTGGTAGGCAGCTGATTGGGTAGCATAGGAGTGGTGGAGAGGTTTTTTTCCTATCTGCCTATCTCTTTAGCTAAGGTATGACATGGGCTTTCCAAAAGTAAAGTAATGTGAAGAGATGATTGCTCAAGTACTTCCTTTTATCTGTTTGAAGCTTATTGCTTATTCATTTCATTGAGTGCCTACGAGTTCTTGTACTGTGAGAAAGGGGGGAAGTACTTCTTTCTCTACCTTCTCTATCCCATGCATAATTTTGTAAACCTCTGTCATGTCACCCCACATTTCTCCAAGCTGAAGATCTTGAACGTCATTAACCTTTCTTCATAGGAAAGGTGTTCCATCCCCTTAATTGTTTTAGTTGCCCTTTTCTGCACTTTTTCCAATGCAATAATATCTTTTTTGAGGTGTGGTGACCAGCACTGTACACAGTATTCCAAATGAGGCCACTCCATACAGGGGCATGATGATACTGGCTGATTTGTTTTCAGTCCCCTTCCTAATAATCCCCAGCATATTTTATTTTTATTGAACCTGCCTTGAATAACTGCAGGTGGAAGGGCAGAACATCTAGCTAGGGCACTCAGAGAAGACAGTACAGAGCTAGGTGGACCACTGGTCCATCTCAGTATAAGAACACAGAATATAAGACTAGTCATAGCAGGTCAGACTAATGGCCCAGCTAGTCAAGCATCATGTTACCAGTGGCAACCAGTCAGATGCTGCAGGCCCCAACTTTGCAGTCTGAAATGATCCATCCCAGACACAGTGTAACCACTTCAATGGAGATCTAGGTTATCAGCGCATAGAACTTTTAGGTCAGAGTTCTGTTTTCATGTCCACTTCAGCATCCTGTGCTGTTGGCCCCAAGGTGGCATTCTGGAGGTCAGCTAGCTGTTGTTGCAGGGAATTATATGCAGTTTCACAGAAGCTTCTGCTGTGGAAGCAGAACTTAACATAAGAACATAAGAGACGCCAATGTTGGATCAGGCCAAAGGCCCATCCAGTCCAACACTCTGTGTCACACAATGGCCAGAAATACCAGTGCCATCAGGAGGTCCACCAGTGGGGCCAGGACATTAGAAGCCCTCCCACTGTTGGACACACACACACACACACCCCGCACCAGCTTCCTATAAGAAATGCTGGCAGTCCTGTCCTTGGGCCTGGATTCCAAGCACTCTGTCCTTTTGGAGTGCCTGGATTCTGCAATCTGAATACATTAAACCATCTTACAGCTGCATGCTGTCAAGCCATTGGTGTACTCTGATGGGTGGAGACATCTGGCATGGAGGTCCTTTCCCAGCCACGTTCTTAGAATCCTGTAACTGCAGATGTTGGACTTTGAACCTTTTATATGCAATGCAGACCCTCTGAGGAGGGACTGTTAGCATGTGAGCGAGATATAGCAGTGGTGACCTGTGGTTGCTGTATCCAGCTTCACCTCACTGCCCACTCAGTCCAGCACCTGTCTTTAATTTTCCATGGTAACCAGAACCTTTCCCCTTTCTTCCCTCCTCCCCAACCACAGAAACGGGCAGCAAGGAAGATCCTGTGGCAGCTGAGGTCATCAACCCGATAGTGCTCAAGCAGCGTGAGGAGATCCGGGAGAAGCTTGCGGCTGCCAAGGAGAAGAGGCTCCTCAACCAGAAACTCGGGTACTGTTTCCAGTTGTTCCGCCTGAGCTTGCCTCTGAAACTCTTACTAACGGTGGGGAGAGGAATCTCCTTGTGTCAGTAGGGCACGTTCAAGACAGAGTTCAGCTATGACAGCAGGACTTCCTGCTTTGACTTGCCAGCCGCTCCATCTTTGTAGCTTGGCTGGTGTCCTATAGTAGGCTAAACCAGAGAGAGCTGGAATTGCATCAACAGCTAAGCTGAGACTTAGAAAGTCCTTAATTTAAATCCTGCCTCTGCCATGAACTCCCAGGATGGCCTTAGGCAAATTGTGCTCTCCAGGCCTCAACCTTCCCGTCTGCAGTATGGGAGTAAAAAAACATTATTTGCTTTTAGAGGCCTACCTTTCTTGCTGATACTCAAGGCAGGTTATAGAACAAAAGCAATGCACCTATACAGCTCATTCATAGCCCACCTTTCTCACTGAGACTGAAGGCGGACTGCAAAGTATAAAAATCTGTTCAGTCAGACAGCTGAGACTTCCACTAAAAAGCGCAGCAAGATGAGGGTTTGAGAATGGGAAAGTAACGTGCACAATAACAAAAAGAGAAACCTGTCTAATGCAAGGAAAAGTGAGTAAGGCATGCCACGCCACATTGTTGAGAGGGAATGCTTGTGATGCCTTTTGAACAGTCAGAAGCCCTGTGGAGTCAGGCCCTTCCACTCTGTTCCGCTAATGGTGACGCCTGTCCCTGGCACCAAGAGCCTTCCCTGGAAGGAAGAGGGAAAGTGCTGCTGTTAGTGGAATGACGCTGCAGAATGCAACCCCAACATAAATGCTAAGTTTTATAATGAAGCTGCCTTTCAGAGTCACTGGATGGACTTCCATTTTGTTCTCTGAAATTTGTTGCCTTGGTTAGAGGGGGTCTCAGTCTCTGTTTTCTATGCTGTTTTTACTCAACACTTCACCACCAAGTCTTCTGCTTTTTTTACGCTTCGTTCAGCTCCAGGTGGCTTTGATGTTTCTTCTGTGCTCATTCTCAACCTTTTCTACTTGTGTACTCCACGGGGTGACTTGTAGGTCACCAGGCTCTGTAACTTTGTGTTCTGCGGGGAGTGTGAATTTAGGGTGGGGATGCGGGCGATTGCGTGTCTCCACAATAGTGGTAGTACTCTGCTGTAATTGCCTCTGGTTTCCTGCCCCCCAGGAAGATCAAATCACTTGGTGAAGATGACCCCTGGCTGGATGACACAGCTGCCTGGATCGAGAAAAGCCGGAAGCTGCAGATTGAGAAGGATATGGCGGAGAAGAGGGTTGGTATTGTGGCTTCATATAGCGCTAGGCAGGGACTCCAAAAGCAAGGCTGTGGCTTCATTTTAATTTTTAATCTGTATGTTGCTTTGTCCAGGAGATTGTCACAAAGTGGTGTGCAAAGGTATTAAAAATTTTTGATGAAAAGTAAAGTTTTTAAAGAATAACACAGTAGATCAGAACAGCATTTAACTTCGATCAGCCACCAAAAAGAAGGGGAGGAAAAGTGTTCTAAACATGTCTCGAGATGACAGCGAGGAAGGGATGGATGATTGGCGTGTGCTGTTCAATGGCCTGTGTTGGCCTGTGCTGTGTGCAGTGCTGATCTCTAGCATTCCTCTCCGTTCCCGCAGCCCCTTCCCAACCCCAGAAATGATTGTTTGGGAGTTGTAAGACCCCGCGTGAAGGAGTAGCTGCTCGAGTCAGGGTGCCAGGTCATCCCCGACCCACCACAGCCATTACTCCACACCATCCTGCAGCTCCAGGAATCGTCTTTTTGGGGTTCAAAATGGGTGCAAAGAAAAAAAGAGGAATGCTGGAGAAGTCCATGCATCTTCTGTGCACAGATGTTCAGGTGCAGGCCAAGATGTTCTTCCCCAGAGCTTGAGGTGAAGGAAAGCTTGTGAATGTGCTTCCAGCTCAGTACAAGCCAAGGTTGTCTCTCTCAAAGCTGGTTGCCTCTGTGCGTTTGCTCTGCCCTGACCACTGAACCGGCATTTCCCTTGTCTCCTTTCTCTCTCCTCCTCCACCCCGGTGGTCTCATGGCCTTCAGTTATGGGGGGTTAGGAAACTTTGTACCAGTGAGAGCCATTCAGCAGTGCAGCCAATGAGCTAGGGCAATGGGAAGTTCTCCTTCTCTGGGAGACCTTCAAGCCAAGGCTGGACACCTCCAGGTGTGCTCTAGCTTTGCCATTCCTGCACTGCGCAGGAGGTGGGACTAGATGGCCTTTGAGGTTCAGTCCAGCTCATTCCAGCTCAGGTTCCTCCCTCCTTCCCTCTTATCCTTCACCCTGTGGTCTGTTTCTCTGTGTATCTTGCTGAGCCATGACAAGTCTGTGCTTTTTTTCTCCTCCCCCCATCAGGCCAAGCTCTTGGAGGAGATGGACCAGGAGTTTGGCATCAGCAGCCTCGTGGAAGAGGAGTTTGGGCAAAGGAAGAAGGTGAGAGTGGAGGCCGCTGGAGTGATGGGGCTGGCTGCTGTTCGTTGTTTTTGTGCAGCCGTTAAGTGCCGGTGGACCCTCTCCACCAGAGATACTGATCGCCAAAGGGGGGCTGCAGTGACTCGGCACTGAACTTCCTTGCTGGTGACTCCTAGTAATGCCTTGTTTGAGAGTTCTGTTGGAGCGGCTTTTGGTTTTAGCAGTTGCACTGCAGGAAGAGGGGTGGGTTCTGGTGAGTCTGCTTTATTTGTATTGGGGGGGGGGGTTGACCGGGCTTCCCGGTCAAAACCCTGATTCAGTGGCTGTTGTGCACCCTTGCTAAGCAGGAAGTCAGGATCTCAGTGTTCGAAATAATAGAAGTACGAGTTGTATTTTGTGGATTTGGTCTGCTAAAGGTGGTGTTTTCCCCCAGTATAAGTGGCCTCTTGTGTCGGGGAAGGCTCCTTGAACTGTGGGAAATCAGCAGCAGAACAAGGTCAGTGGGATCCAACCCGTGGCCTAGTGTGGACAGCTGGGACAGGAATGCTTTGTAGAAAAGGGGTGGGACAGTTTCAGTAATTCTTTTTGCCATTCAACAGTTTCCATCCACGTAGGCAGCTGAGCAGCGGGTTGCTCTGCGGCATGTGGGGATTTGGGTCCTCCGCATCTGACAAGGCCCAAACCCAGCTGGGCCTTCTTCCTTGAATGCTCCAGCAGGCAGCGAAGCTGAAGGCATCCGTCTTGGAAAACTTTGTATGTTGTCCTCCTAGCTTCAGTCTCAGTCAAGCGAGTGGTTGGCAGTCTGGTTTTCACAGCCATCTTCATGAGTTTCCTACTTTGTGCGTTTGCCAGTACAGCTTGAAAGGGGAGTCGCTGTAGCTTATCAGATCCTGATATGGACTTCCTTAGGCACAAGCCTACCCACCCCCCCACAGCTGTGCTTTACTGGCCCCTGAGTATTGTTATTGGTGTTCTGTTTGCACCCTGCTTTTCCAAAAATACACTTAGAGGAGTTTACTCTTAAAATAAGAGGAGGAGAGGAGATTGGATTTATCCCCTGCCCTTCACGCCCCAAAGGTGTCTCAGAGCGGCTTACAAACTCCTTTCCCTTCCCCTCCCCACAACAGACACCCTGTGAGGTGGGTGGGGCTGAGAGGGCTCTGACACAAACTGCTCTTTTTCAAGGACAGCTCTTATCAGAACTACGGCTTGCCCAAGGTCATCCAGCCAGGTGCAAGTGGAGGAGTGAGGAATCAAACCCGGTTCTCCCAGATTAGAGTCCGCGCACTTAACCACTACACCAAACTGGCACTAATGCAATTCACAGTATAACCCCAAGAGACTGCTACTTCCTTTGACAAGGAGTTGTTCCAGCTTCCAAACTTGGCTACTAGCCATGGTGACTGAGGGGAACCTCCACATTCAGAGGCGCTAAGCCTCTGGATCCCAGAGCCAGGAGGCAACTTCAGGGGAAGGCCTCGGCCTCTATGCCCTGTTATTGGCCATCCAGGGGAACTGGGTGGCCACTGTGTGAGACAGAATGCTGAACTAGATAGACCACTGGTCTGATCCAGCAGGGCTCTTTTTATGTTCTCTCCTCACTTACACCACAGTCCATAGTTGTTGTTTTTTACTCTCTCCAGTCCCAGGACTGATGGTGTTAGAAAAGCAAATGCTCCAAGATGACTTTCCTCATGGGCTGGAGACGGGTGTGTGTGTGTGTGTGGCCTGAGAACCATCTTGTCTGTTTTTGATTCCTGCTTAATGCTCTTCTCAGCAGGTCAGCTACAGTTCACGAGACTTGAAGGGCTTGACAGTGGAGCACACCATTGATTCCTTCCAGGAAGGGGAGACGGTCATCCTGACACTCAAAGACAAAGGTGAAGTGTGAACTGACCTCGTGCTACCGCTGTGCTCCTCCATGGGAAGCGTATGGGGCCCCTCGCTCATGTACATGACACTGCCTTGGACTGAGTCAGGTCATTGGTCTGTCCGGGTCAGCATTGTCTCCTCTGACCGGCAGAGGCTGTCATAATGAACCTGGGAATCTTCTCCATGCAAAGTAGACATTCTGCCACCACTTGCGACTTGGCCCCTCCTATAAATAAAGGCACCCTTGAGGCTGCCTTATATTGAGACAGACCATTGGACCATCGAGGTCAGTCTAGTCTACTTAGTTGGCAGCAGCTCTTACTGAACACATTTTTGAGATCTGGGTCGCAGGACCGGCTAGTCTTCCCTGGCCCTAGGGATGCCAAACTAACTACTAGAACTAGGGTGTTCTCCTTGGCTGCACCAACATTATGGAACCAGCTCCCTCATGAGATCCGCGCTTTCCGGGATCTCTGCCAATTCCAGAAAGCGGTGAAGACGGAGCTATTCCGCCGGAGACGGTCATCCTGACACTCAAAGACAAAGGTGAAGTGTGAACTGACCTCGTGCTACCGCTGTGCTCCTCCGTGGGAAGCGTATGGGGCCCCTCGCTCACATACATGACACTGCCTTGGACTGAGTCAGATCATTGGTCTCTCCAGGTCAGCATTGTCTGCTCTGACCGGCAGAGGCTGTCATAGCGAACCTGGGAATCTTCTCCGTGCAAAGTAGACGTTCTGCCACTACTTGCGACTTGGCCTCTCCTATAAATAAAGGCACCCTTGAGGCTGCCTTATATTGAGACAGACCATTGGTCCATCAAGGTCAGTCTAGTCTACTCAGTTGGCAGCATAAACACTTCCCAAACCAGAGAGGAAGGCCCATAACCATTGTTGGGGGCATGCCAAACAAAACAAAAAAAATCTTCACATGCTGGTGGAAGACACTGATAGAAGGACACAGATGAATGCTCCTGGGGAGTTCCAAAGTTCCGGTGCCATAACGGAGAGAGCCCTTTCTCCGGTTGCCACCCATCTGACCTGATGCAAGAGCCTCTTCCGTAATGGATGCTGCTTGTGTTTTCAATTGTGAGCTTCCTCGGGGAGAACTCTTTGGAGGGTGGCATAGAAATATTGTAAATAAATTTTGGGGAGGGACTGTGGCTTAGTTGCAGTGCATCTGCTTGGCATGCGGAAGGTCCCAGGTTCAATCCCCGGCATCTCCAGTAAGGGTCAGGTTGTAGGTGATGAGGAGGACCTCTGCCTGAGATCCTGGAGAGACGCTACCAGTCTGGGCACACAGTACTGACTCTGATGGACCACCAAGGGTCTGATTCGGCATCAGGCAGCTTCATGTGCAGCCTCAGATGGTCAGGACCCTGCTTGAAGCGGCCTTGTACCGAATCAGACCCTTGGTCCATCAAGGTCAGTGTTAATCTCAGACTGGCAGCAGCTCTGCAGGGTCTCGGCTCGAGCTCTTTCACGTCTCCTACTGCCTTGACCCTCTTAACTGGCAATGCCGGGGCTGAACATCTGCATACCAAGCAGATACTCTGCTACTGACCCACAGTCGCTCCACCTTGCAGCTTTTTCCCTCTCACACTGTTTCTCCCCTCATCCCACTCGCTTCTTTATTGCCCGCCAGTTTGGTGTAGTGGTTAAGTGCGTGGGCTCTAATCTGGGAGAACTGGGTTTGATTCCCCCACCCCTCCACTTGCACCTGGCTGGATGACCTTGGGTCAGTCACAAGCTCTGGCACAGCTGTCCTTGAAAAAGAGCAGTTTGTGTCAGAGTTCTCTCAGCCCCGCCCACCTCGCAGGGTGTCTGTTGTGGAGAGGGGAAGGGAAAGGAGTTTGTAAGCCGCTCTGAGACTCCCAAGTGAAGGGCGGGGTATAAATCCAATCTCCTCTTTTTCTTCTTCTAAATGCTACTTAAAAGAAGAGGTGCTGTGGAATGCCTCATCTCGAGCGCACTGTGGTGCCATCTCTCTCCCTAGGTGTCCTTGAGGAGGAAGGGGGCGATGTCCTCGTGAACGTCAACATAGTGGACAAGGAGAAAGCAGAGAAGAACGTGGAGCTGCGCAAGAAGAAGCCGGATTACAAGCCCTACGAGGAGGAGGAGAGCGTGGACGACATGGTGATGGTAAGGAAGCCTCCAGAGCCTCCCATGTTTGTCGGCGGTTCAGAGTGTCTCCGTAGGTTTCCCCAGCAGTGCCCTTTCCTGTCCCAGCTCAAAAGGGTCGCCATGATGGCCTGTGGCGCTGCACACAGTTGGCTGCTTACCAGCTGTTGGCTACCGGAGGTTCCAGCTGGTGCTTGGGATGAAGCGCTAGGGGACGAGGGGCCAGATGCTTTGGGATATCCATGTATAGGCAGAACATTCGTACGCTCACAGCATAACTCTGAAGTTACTGACCCAGCAGAGGTGGGGAAGGTGAGAGGCTTCCTTCGCACAGGATAAGTGTTGGCTTGACATAGATTTGCTACCCGGCGGCGTTTTCCCCTGACGCAAGAGCCTCTTCCATAAGCAGATGCTGCTTGTGTTTTTAATTGTAAACTTCCTCGAGGAGAACTCTGAAGAGGGCGGCACAGAAAGTTTGTAAATAAAGGGCTGAACAGGGCTGCCACTGTTAGCAAAACAGATCCACAGGATCCAACCCATGGTGTAGCAGTAGCATAGCTCTGAGTCTACACTGAGTGTACTATCCCTTGCTTCTGACTACAGCTCTCTCTCCCCCCCCCCCATATCGGAGGACAGAGGGGGCAGGACTTCCCCATTCCTGAGCAGGGCCCTGCTTGGAGTGTAACCCTTTACTAACACTTTTGCCCATGCTGGCGGTGCTTCCTCAGCTGCTTTTGTCCTCCTCTCTGCCTCGTTCTTCAGCCAGTTTGTTAGTGATTGTGTTTCTCCCCCGCCTCCTCCTCCACCAGTACAAGCACAAGAACATCCTCTCCAAGTACGACGAGGAGATCGAAGGGGAGAAAAAGAAGTCCTTCAAGCTGGACTCGGTGGGGATGGCCGACGGCTCTTGGGAGCGGGAGCTGCAGCAGATCCGGGACAACCTGCGCGATCAGGCTCAGACCCTGGACATGCCCAATCTCCACCTGGCATCGGAGTATTTCACCCCAGAAGAGATGGTAAGGGAGCAACGCTTCTCCTCCGGAGTCGTGGCGTGCCGCTCTCTTTGGCAGCTCTGTGCCACCTTGAAAGGTTTTGGTCCTTGATTCTTAAGCGTAATTGAGGCTTTGCACCAACCATTTATTTATACCTTGCCTTTCGCACTACTGGGCACCCAAAGCAGCTCACATTGTTCTCCTGTCATCCATTTTATCCCACAGCAGCCCTGTGAGGTAGGTTTAGGGTTGGAGGGCCCAAGGTCACCCAGGGGGCTTCCAGGGCAGAGTGGGGATTCGAACCTGGGTCTTCCAGATCCTAATTCGACACTTATAAGAGCCCTGCTGGATCTGACCAGTGAGGGTCCGTCTAGTTCAGCATCCTGCCAGACACAGTGGCCTCAATCAGTTCCCCTGGAAGGGCAACAAGTGGGCAATAGAGGCCAAGACCTCCCTGTGATGTTGCCTCCTGGCTCCAGGATTCAGAGGTTTAGTGCCTCTGAATGTGGAGGTTCCCCTCAGTCGCCATGGCTAGTAGCCACTGATGGACCTCTCCTCCATGAGTCTGTCTAATCCCTCTTTTAAAGCCATCTGTTCCTGTGGCCATCATATGACATCCTCTGGCAGCGAGTCCCAAATTTTAATCACCCTAACCACTGCTGCGCACTGGCTCTCAACCGTGGTTCAGGACGTTTAATGATTCCGTGCAGTGGCTGAATTGGCCCACCATTATTCAAAACCAGAATCCAAAACCATAGCCTGTAGCGAGTATTTCTGGTTGTTGCTCTCCCTGCAGAGGCTGCTGTGCCTGGACACTGGCACACAGTGCAACGGGGTAGGGAGAGCAGCTTCGAGTGGCCTTTTTGCTGGCCTTGTATGTTTGGCGGCTCTAACTTACGGCCCGGAGGCCGGAATCGGCCCATCCAGGGCTCTTGTCTGGCCTGCAGCAACTGGTGTGAGGGAGGGAAGGCAGGAAGCTGCTGGGAGGGGGGGGAGCGGGCAAACAGGCTCACACAGTGAGGTGTGTGTGGTTGAAGCTGCCAAGAAATAGAAAGGGAAATTGCTAGGGGGCAGGACTGGGAGGCTGAGTTAGAATAGTTTGGAGGGAATGGCAGTGGAGGTGGAGAAATAAGAGGCCTTTTTTCCTCCTCCCGCCTCCTCCGGCCGCAGCTCAAAGAGGATTGGCGAAGCCACTACATGGAGGGGCAGAGCTGAGCAGCTGGCTCTGCCGCCACCACACCAAGTCGCGACAGCGAGGGGTGTTGGCAAGAGTGGCCACGTGGAGTGTTGGTTTGCTGACCCTGGGGCCGGCGGGAGAGAGGAGGAGGAAGGGGACTGTTATGTGGTTTGGGAGGCAACTGGGCTGTCTTGTGCAGGCTGCTCTGAGGGGAAAGGTGTCCCGGCCTTGGAAGCAAGTAGAGGAGTGAACACAGAAAGGGGCACTGCTGTCGCCGCCACACATCTGAACAGCCATGGAACCAACAGGCAGAATGAGGGGGGAGGGGAGGGGATGGCGACCTCTCTTCTCCCTCCCACATGAAGGAAAAGGGGTCGCGGAAGCACCAAAAGTAGCCCTTAGAGGTTTTGGAAAACAGCCTCTCTGTCCAACCTGACCCTCAGCCCCTCCACTTCTGTGGGAAAGGCAGGAGGGATGAGAACTGGCGATGGGGGGGATCTGGGAGAGCCAGGTTCAGACACCGCCCCTCATCCTGAGCCGGGAACCTGCTGTCCTGGACCACCTCACAGGTGGTGGTTGTCAGAGGGGGTGGGGCGGTGGAAGGGGGGGGGTTCTGATGTGTCTCCTTGAGATCCTCAGAGGGTAGGACAGGTGGAGAGAGGAAACGGAGAGCGAGAGACAGACCGTAGCCGTGCTCGGCTGCTGAAGCTGGGCAGATGGAGGGGTTGCTGAAAAACTACTTTATTTACTTGCAAGGAAGGATGGCTCCTCTCCTAACAGTGCCATATATACAAAAAGTAACTTATTTGTATGGAAGCGTACCCTCCCCTTTTATGGTATCCCTTGGGGGGGAAAACCTAGTCTTGCATGTGATTAATACCTCTATTGGGGCTTTCGTGGATTTCCCAGTAAATCACTTGCTTTCACTGCTAGGAATCAATTGCTTTAGTTTGTATTTTGAATAAAAAATAATATAGGTAATTGTGCTTGCCTGTCTATCTCCCCTATACCTGGCATTACATTTTAATGGCACACATGGCCCAGCCCAGCGAAGTAACATTTATATCAGATCTGGCCCTCGTAACAAACAAATTCAACACTTCTGATATAACTGCATAAAGGGCAGCAGCTGATAAGCTTTGAGTGGGTGTGTCCTCACTGCAAGGCCCCCTGGGCTGGGGGTGGGGGGTGCAGAGGAAAACCCACATGGGCAGGCTGGAGAGCCAGCGATGCAGCCCTGGGCAGACACTCCCACACTGCTTGACTGCTAAAGACGAGGTTGTTCCACCGTGCTGAAGCCACAATCACAGTGGCTCTGGCCACTCCCCCCCTCCAGCAGTCTCCTGTTGCCTCCCTTGCACTCGTTGATCACAGGCTGCATAAGAGCCCTGGGCGGTTCTGACCCCTGGGGCCTTATGTTTGACCCCCCCTGGTTTATATCTATGTTACCTGGCATTATATTTATGGCACACGTGTCCCGGCCCAACAAAGTGACATTTACGTCAGATCCGGCCTTCGTAACAAATTAATGGGTGTGTGATGAGACGTTACATCAGCTCCAGCGAAGATATGCCACGCGTCCCCGGGAGGAGATCCGGGACAGTCCATGGCCCGTTTTTGAGGCTTGCGCTTCTTGCTGCAGAATGTCACCTTCAAGAAGACGAAGCGGCGGGTGAAGAAGATACGCAAGAAGGAGAAGCTGGTGAAGGCTGCCGATCTCCGGCCACTAGGCAACGAGACCAGCAAGAGGGATTTCGGCTCCAGGTAACAGTCTGGGGGCCAAGCCATTGACCGGGGCGGGGGGGGACAATGACACTGCTGAAGAGGCTTGCACCAGTGACTCGGAATGGCCTGCTTCCGGTCGTCCTTTCCTGATGCTCTGAATCTCCTGCCCAGGGCTGCGGGAGTAGCAGGGCCAGTGAAGTGTGCCCTCCACCCCCATCTATGCCAAGGATTCTGTCTTCACCTCCTGTCCGAGTTAGGCATGCCGTAGCAAGTGATGGTTCAGTGCTGCTTCCCGTGCTTCACGGATCCTTTGCGTGTCTCTCTCTAGGGCCCGCGGCCGAGGCAGGAGGGTTGTTGCGGAAGAGGAAGATGAGGAGGACGAGGACGAAGAGGGGTATGTGGAATATGATGAAAATGGGTCCGTGGAGCAGCCGCCCCAGTCAGATGACCTTCGGGTGGAGAGGATGGACATCAGCAGCGATGACGGTGAGTTTGCTTATTCGCTTTCGTTTATTTTACAGTCCAGCTTTCTCACTGGCACTCAAGGTGGATTCCAAACGCAATAGAACTCTTTAGTCAGTCAAAATATGGTAATACTTGAAATCTATCAGCAAAGATTCCTGGTGAAACAAAGCAACTCAGTCAGCAAGCAGAGTACCAAATATCCTAGCAACATCTATATATCTGTTTCTCAGCCGTGGGGTAGGTTTACGGATAGCTAAATCCACGGATCGGGCCCACATTGAGATAAAGGAAATTTTCCTCCAAACTCGGGGGGACGCACAGGTTTGCATAAAAACCTGAAATCGGTTAAAAAAATTACATTGGGGGGGGAGTAAATCCCCCTAAAAACAAAAGCGTTGTCTGCGCATGTGCAGACAGCACGCCTACCTCTGTCAAAGTCTCAGTGGTGGTGGGGGGGAGCAACAGCAGGTGAAGCTTGGAGCCGCCCAGAGCTCGCCAGCATCTATGTTTGGGGGGTGGGGGTTGGGAGTGAGAGCTGAGAGTGAGATGGCCTGGCGGCAAAAGCTTTATAGCTGGAGGGGTTTGGAAGCTGCAGCAGGCCTGGCGGCGGAGGCCTGGAGCCGTGCTGGGCTCGCCAGCATCAGTGTTGGTGCTGGGGGGCAACCTGGCGGCAGAAGCTTGAGAGCTTTGGCAGTGGCCAGTGGCGGAGGCCTGGAATGGCTCTGGGCTCACTGACATCAATGTCAGCAGTGGTCAGAGGGGAAGAGCACAGCACAGCCTAGTGGCAGTGGCTGCAACAGTGGAGGGCAGGAGCCATGAGACTCACGGGGGGGGGGGGGATCCTTTCCCCCCCTTATCTGAGGGGGGGGGATTAAGTTAAGGGGGAGAAGGGAATCCCCTGCAAGTATCGCAGGTCCCCACCAGTGTTCCCTCTAAGCTGAGTTAGTGTGAGCCAGCTCACAGTTCTTTAGCCTCCGGCTCACACATTTTTGTCCTAGCTCAGGAAGGATGGCTCCAGAGCAAACTAATTTATGCAGCAGCCAAATCGCTTGCTCACAACTTTAATGCCAGTTAGCTCACAAAGTGGAATTTTTGCTCACAGGTCTCCACAGCTTAGAGGGAGCGTTGGTCCCCACTTGTTGGCATCTAATATCAGAGATTTTCTAGTAAAGCAGTGTAATGCACTGGGCCTGGGACTGCAGAACTGGAATTAAAATAACAGCATCCCTAGTTATGGTCACTTCCGTTACATTGCAGCTCTGTTCCTCTACAAGAGTGCTCTCCTGAACAGTTGGATTTCATGATCATTTTGGCCATTAGAACAAAACAACAATAGTGGAGTAGAAAAAAGAGTTGCTCTGTTCAGATATACTACCCCTACATGTTTCACTGATGCTTCTTCAGGGGGATCTATATAACTGTATCAAGTAGTTCCCACAGCAACAGAATTTTCAGAGCCAGCTAAGTTTAAATCTAGCAAGAAAATTAAGCGTTGTGTATATTTCCTTTTCCAAAAAAGTTTCATGATTTTGGATGGGTGGCGAGGAGAGAAAGGAAGAGGGTGTCTGTGTGACCCCGGTGGAGTCAGTATTTCTGGGACTTCTACAGTTTTATTCTGCAGACCCATCTCGAGCGGCTTGTTTGATTCTCTGGAAGGAAATTCCCAGTGCTCCATTGGTGCTTTCCTTGTGACTCTGGGTTCTGCTAACTTGACTGATCTTGTTCTTTCTTCTTTTTCCCCCTCCCCACCAGAGGATGCTGTAAAGGGTCCAGACTCTCCCACCGCCTTGGAGGAGGACGAGGCTGAACTGGAACTGCAGAAGCAGCTGGAGAAAGGGCGGAGGCTAAGACAGATCCAGCAGCTGAAAGACAGCGGGGAAAAGGTGAGGAACGGAGGCTGGTCAAACCACGGGGTGTCACTTTTATGGACCTGTGGAAGGTTCATCCTTGGGGACACCTTGGGGGGCAGGGGGTGGGCTCCCCATTGTAGTCTCCCGAAGGGCCTTGATTCTACAGTTCCTGAGCCAGAAGGTCTCCATCCCTAAGCTTTGGCTCTGTGTTACTGACTTCGTCTTCTCCCACCCACAACCCCTTTACCCCCAGGTCATAGAAATAGTGAAGAAGTTAGAGACTGGCCGGAGCCAGGAGGACGATGACGAGCTGGAGAAGAAGGGGGCCATCGTCTTCAACGCCACTTCTGAGTTCTGCCGGACGCTGGGCGAGATCCCCACCTACGGGCTGGCTGGCAATCGTGAAGATCAGGAAGAGCTCATGGTAGGTCTTCCAGTGGGCACTGGGCCGGAGTGTATCAGGGCTGGGCCAAGATCTCAAGAGACTGCATCTCCTACCAGTGGGTGGCATCTGTGTGCAGGCAAAGCTTCTCTGTTTCATGCAGGCATAATATTGTTGGGCGTGATGGAAAGCCCCAGCTTGCAACTATACCTAACTGTAATAGTTCTTAAACTTTGTATGTTGTATTTTTGTAGCCCTTGCAAACAGACCTTTTAAGGTAGGTGAGTGGTACTTGTCTTCCCCATAGTGCAGCTGTGTGTGGGGGGAGCAGTTTGCTCCTCAGCAGCTGATAAGTTCCTGGGGGAGGTGAGATTTGAACGAAGGACCCTCCTGATTTAGCAATTCAGTCCCTGAGAGTAGCTGCTGTGCTACGCAGCTGTGTAGAGAGGATAGTCTTAATGTGGAGTGAAAAGGGTGTTGTACACTCCCCCACATACCCCCCCCTCCCCAGAAATGTCCTTAAGGATTTCAGGCTGCCCCAGAGGCCCCCAGCACAAAAAACAGTGCAGCTTGCTCTCCTCTGGGAAATATAAAAGCCAGCAGTACTCTTGATCTGTCTCCAATGCCAAGCAGAACAGATGGCTCTTCCGTGCGAGGCACAGGACAGATGTAAAGGAGAACGTTGTTGTCCTTATACAAGCAAATGGGGGGGGGGGACAGAAAAATTTGGGAGGGGAAAGCTCTTTCCCCCCTGATTTTCTCCCAGTGGCAAAACTGGAAATTTTGGGGCATACTAAAAAAAAAAAAACTCCTATGCAATGTTTTCTCTTTTCGAATGAGTTAAATGCTTTCAAAGACAGGGCATGCTGTAGATTTATAAGCTCTTGAATCCAAGATGCATTCCTGTACCTAGAAAGACACCTCCGCTTCCTGAGGGGCACACGCAGGGCTCTCACTGCTTCTCAGCTGTCATCGTCTCGGCCTGATTTGTGGTTGACCTTTTCGCCTTTCTCTTAAACCACGGTGACACATTTGCCCACGAATTGGGTAAAAAGTAGTTCATCGCCCTAAATTGCTGGGGGGTGGGGGGAGATCAGAAACAAGTGGTAGAGAAACCGCACCAAAGCTTCTGAAAGTTCCGTCGAGAACTGACTGCTCTCTAACCCAACAGTCGAAGGCAGCCGGAAAAGAGGGGAGACCCAACATGAGATGGGTTGACTTGGTCAAGGAAGCCATGGAGCTCAGTCTGCAAGACCTGAGCCAGGCTGTCAGTGATAGGACATTTTGGATGTCATTCATTCCTTAGTTGAAAGCGACCTGGTGGCACTTAAGACACACAGAGTTGGAAGAACCCCTCAGGGAAGTTGGAGGATCTCGGAGGCCCTCTGCAGCCATCTCTGCAGCACGTTGATCTGACCTGGCCGGCCAGCTGTCCCTTCCATCGATAACTCCTGGCTTTTGCGGCCCCAGGGCCCCCCTTCTAACCCTTAGTGACGTCTGACCCATTTGGTTTAATGTTGGGTTCATCGCACATCTGCCTTGTTGGTTTCAAAGGTGCTGCTGGGCTTGAATCCAGCTGTTCTACTACCGACCAGCATGGCTACCCTCTGAAACGAACATCTGCCTTTGCTTTCTCTTTCTAAGGAGACCAGATGCAGAGGAGGCTGAGGCTCCCAATGCCAATAGCAGCTGTGTAGAAGGGGGAATTCTGGCAGGCCCAGCTTCTCCCTCCCCCGTCCCGGGAGGCTCCGCCTGCCAAAACGCCCTCCTCTGCACAGCCGTTGCTGGGTCTTCCTTTGTCTCTGGTCCTTCCGGGGCATGTCTCAGCCCCTGCCTTATGTGGGGTAGAATGCACTGCGGCAAGGGGTCTGTGTGAGCATATGCAGTTTCCTCTGCTACATTCCACACCATCCTGTTAGTGTTGGACTAGGGCTAGAGTGATCTGCATTCCACACCATCCCCGCTGTGTGGTGTCAGCAGTTAGTGTTGGACTAGGGCTAGAGTGATCTAGGTTCAAATCCCCACTTAGCCCACCCGCTGAAGCTCACTGGGTGACCTTGTGCCAGTCACACTAACCTTCCCCACAGGTTAATTGCAAGGATAAAATGGAGGGACAGAAGAACCATGTGGACCACCCTGAGCTCCTAGAAAACATAATAGGGCACAACTGTGCTCATTGCCCCGTGGCTACTTCTTTCTGTGTCTCTCCCCCCACCTTACTTTGCCTTTCAAAACCAAACCCCCCCCCACAGGTCTAGCCCACGTAAGACTCACCAGTTCGGAGACAAATGTGAAAGAACCTGTCGGCAGTCCTTTAATTCTGAGAGGCAGGCCCAAGGGCCCGCCTAGAAAATGGCCGGGGCATGAACAACCTGCTTCCTCCTCCTCTCTTCCACCCTTCAGGACTTTGAGCAAGCCGATGAGCGGTCAGCCAATGGGGGCTCGGACTCAGACGGCGAGGAGAACATTGGCTGGAGTATGGTCAACTTGGATGAGGAGAAGCAGCAGCAGGACGTGAGTGTGTGGCCTTCAGAGGGGGCTGCTCCAGAGGCTTGGTAGCTGCAGCAGGAGCGCCTCCTGCTGGCGGGAGGGGATCATAGTTGGCCAAGAGCAGGAAGCAGCACCCTGAGCAATACTGTCTCTCTTTTCTCCCACTGCGGCGTGCAGTTCTCGGCGTCTTCCACCACCATCTTGGATGAGGAGCCCATCGTCAACCGGGGCCTGGCAGCTGCCCTGATGCTCTGCCAAAACAAAGGTGAGGGTTGGGAGCAATGCTCCCTCTAAGCTGTAGAGTCTTGTGAGCAAAAATTCTACTTTGTGAGCTACCGGCATTGAAGTTGTGAGCCAGCGATTTGGCTACTGCATAAGTTAGTTTGCTCTGGAGCCGTCCTGCCTGAGCTGAGACAAAAATGTGTGAGCCGGAGGCTAAAAAACTGTGAGCTAGCTCACACTAACTCAGCTCAGAGGGAACACTGGTTGGGAGAATTTGTGGCTTGGAGGGTCCTTCTGATTTGGCCCAGGCCTTTCTACTTGGGGCTAAGAGGACTGGCATTTCACACCAGTGCCCTGGGATGCCATCTCTTTCCAACGCTGCATGGGTACAGTGTCCTATCACTTCCTTCTCTCCCAATTAGGTTTGCTGGAGACAACAGTACAGAAGGTGGCAAGAGTGAAGGCCCCCAACAAGTCGCTGCCGTCCGCTGTTTATTGCATAGAAGATAAGATGTGAGTGGCTATGTGGATAGGCGCAAACTTGCCTCCCGGAAGGCAGAGAGAGACCGACCCAGACTGAATATCGGGGCTGTGAAACAGATAAGAGTCAGACAGCTGGCCTCCCTGGCCTAGTGTTGACTATCCTAATTGGCCAGTGCTCTGCTACTGACTTAAGGTCATGGCTTGAACTGGCCAATCACTTGAGATTCTCCTAGCTGGAGATGCCTGGGATTGTATGCATGCAAAGTAGTTGCCCTTCTGTGCTTCCCCTTCTCGGTCAGGTGTGGAAGCAAGAGTCAAGTTTTTCAAACAATTCTTCTACACCTATCCTCCTTTCCCCCCCACCTCTCCAAGATTGAGCTGTACTCAAATTGAGAATCAAGCTCTTTCTTTTTAAGGGTCCTTTCGCCAAGGCACCGGCTTCCTCGCCGGACAAAGAGATCCTGCAGCCTTCCGTGTTTGCTCGGTTAACACTGTGCTTCCTCCTCCTGCAGGGCCATTGACGACAAGTACAGCCGGCGTGAAGAGTACCGGGGCTTCACCCAGGACTTCAAGGAGAAGGACGGTTACAAGCCAGATGTCAAAATCGAATATGTGGACGAGACAGGACGCAAGCTGACCCCCAAGGAGGTACCAAGGCAGGACTCATGAGCTGGTGGCCTCTGAGTCTAGAGCAGGGGTCTCCAGTGTGGTGCTTGTGGGCATCGTGGCACCTGACGACGTCTGTTCTGACAGATGCCAAGTGTTTTTAGGAAGCGGGTGGGCCCAGGTAAGGCTTTTGCCCAGCAAGGCTTCTGGTTGGCTAATGGAGATTTGATTGGCTGTGCTGATTTTTATTTTTTGCTTCAGCAGCCGCTGCCACCACAGCCCAAGGAACACAGCACTGTGTTACTGAAGTTAAGCTTTGGCAATTATTTTGTGGCTGGCTCCGCCTCCTGTGGCAGCCATTTTGTTGCTGTGCCCACCATGCTGTATCAGAATTCCAAATGTGCCCGCAGGCTTAAAAAAGGCTGGGGACCCCTGCTCTAGAGAGTTTAGCACCACACCTTCCTCCCAGAGGGGAATAATGGGCTATGGAAGAGCAGCTGCCCACCTAAAGAATTGTAGTTTATTATCTATATGAACATTACGTAATTTAATAGATAAAATCTGCATAAAACTGCATGAAAGACGAAAAACCATTTGAAGGGGGAAAGCCCATTTCTTTTGCATTTACTTGATGTACCTTAACAGAGCAGAAGAGACAGTCACCCCTTCTCTTCTCTTTCAAGGAAGGAATGCCTCTTTGACTGTGTTGCTTGCCTCCAGCTTTTGTATGAACTTGTGTTACAAATACATTTTTAATACCATGCTTGATTATTTAGCCAGCCAGTTCAGACCTCCCTCCCAAGCCCCATACTGCCACAGAGATGGGCGGGCGGCAGCGAGAGGTGGGGCCTTCTTGGTGGTAGCACCCTGCCAGTGGAATGCCTTCCTGTTCGAAGCTCACCAGGCGTGCATACATTACTGGCTTCCAGGTGCCAGGCCAGAGCATTTTTATTCCGCCAGGCCCTTAATTTGGCTCTTGTCCTACGTCTTGTATGCTTTGTTAAAATGCTGTCTTTTGTGGGAAGCCGTTTTAATGTACTGCTGATGGCTGTCGCTGTCTTGAGATCTGCATGCGTGTAGTTTGATTCCACCTCAGCTGCCTTGGCTACGCTCTGGAGAATGTTAGGTAGAAGCCTTTCTGAACGAAGTCTGTGACTTTGGGGGTGTTGTTTTAGTGTAATCTGACCACTCGTCTCACCAGCCCAGCCCGGGCCCCTTGGCCCATCGGCCCCACTCATTTTCTGCCCCCCGCTGTGCTCTCCTCCCAGGCATTCCGGCAGCTCTCCCACCGGTTCCATGGCAAAGGTTCTGGCAAGATGAAGACCGAGCGGCGCATGAAGAAGCTGGATGAGGAGGCGGTGAGTGAGCCAAGGAAAGAGAGCTCACTGCCCAGTTCTACCTGAGCGGCAGCTAGTTAGGCACACCTGGGCAGGAGAATGGGAACCGTGAGATGGGGGTGGGAGGGGGATGCGCTCTCCCCTGGAAAGCAGCAGGGCGTACCCAGCCCAGTCCCTCCTCCCGGGGTTGCCCCGGCATTGACCTGAGTGAGGGATCAGACAGAGGGTGGCGATGCTGATCCTAGCTGCCTCCTGTCCCCTCTCCAGCTCTTGAAGAAGATGAGCTCCAGCGACACCCCCCTGGGCACCGTGGCTCTGCTGCAGGAGAAGCAGAAGGCCCAGAAGACCCCTTACATCGTGTTGAGCGGCAGCGGCAAGAGCATGAACGCGTAAGGATGGCCTGGTGGGGAGGTGGCATCTCGGGCTGTGCGGTCTGAACGGAGGCTGTTGTTGTGGGCTGAGGGTGGGGAGCCCATCTCAGCCAGGGGCCTCCTGCCAATCTGACGCAGCTGTGAACCAGCTGTTCTCTCTTGGCCCTTCCTCCAAGGAGCTCCGAGTATCCTATGCGGTTTTCTCCCTTCCCCCGTCTTGCCCTCATAACACCCCTGTGAGGTAGGGTGGGCTTCATAGCTCAGTGGGGGTCTTCAATCCAACTGCTGCCAGGCCCAGACTTGAGCCACTACAGTACCCTGGCACTACCGCGGGTTATGTCATGTCCATGGGGGATGGGTTGTTGAACTTTTCATAGGTCGGTAAAGAGCGCTGTTCTGTCTCCCCACTCCTGGCACCGTCCTGTCCTGGAACGGGCAGCCCATCTTCATACAGCCTCCCATTCCTTGCAGTGCACCAACATTATATGTAACAGAAACAATCCAGATGTGAAGTGTTCAAAGCACTTTACATTTGTAGTCATCCATACATCAACCTTGTAAGGCAGGCTTGCACTGGTACATGTATGATTGCAATGCAGGGCTCAGAGAGCTACGCATTTAAGCCTGCCCCTTGAATAAGTTAATGACTGAGAGCTGAAGCGTGGATTGCGGGGGGGGGGGGCTTCCCAGCACTTAGAACACCCCAACCCTCACTTGCCGCTTCCACCGGGCTCCCAGATGTTTTGCTTTTAGGTCACAACTGCTGATCTTTGTGGTGTTGCACCACCTGCTGTTCCCAGAGAGTTCACTCCCCCCACTTCCTTATCATTGACCCTCTGCCTGACCTCTAGGCAGAAACTCCCATGAGGTTGCCCTTTCCCCAGCTCCTCTGGGTTTACTGCCCTGGGGGAAAGATGGATATCTGCTCAACAAGCAGGACATTTGGGTGCTAACTGCTTCATCTCCTTTTCCCCCCCACAGAAACACCATCACCAAGTGAGACCTTGCCGTCCACATGGAGGGGGAAGATGGCTCCTTCTGGGATTCAGGCCTGGACCTCATTCTGTCCTTGACCCGTTTGTAAAGCAAGGTTTCCGGCTGGCGCGAGATGCAGAACACCTGTGTTTTTTTGCTCTATTGGAATCTTGAGAGCAAGACACTCTCCCCAACCACTGCCTTGAGCCATCTGATCGACTGTTTCCCTCCAGATGTTGTACAGAGAGGGGGGAAGGCAGAATCTGTGTATATAATTGTGGAGCTGAGTTTCTGAGGATGCCTTTTGGTGTTGGCTTATTTTGTATCTATGTGTGAAACCAAATAGAATAAAAGTCGCTGCTTCGTCACTTGTAGCCAAGGCTCTTCCTTCTGTTGCCTGTGGGGCTGTAATGTTATTCTGACACACACACCCTTTTCCTACGTTTCTGATCTTGGATTGGCAGCTGCCTTACAAAGAGCACACCTGATATTCAAATCAAGGATAGGTGAGCCTGGCTCCATTCCCGCCCCCACTAAGCTAAGAGGTGAGAGCTGTCTGGGCCTGCCATGATTGAGCAGTTACTGTACATCAGAACTCAAGGGGAGAGGGATGTGACAAAAGTTTACATAGACCAAGCACCAGAGGGCACATATGATAGCATATGGCGGTGGCGAACCTATGGCACGGGTGCCAGAGGTGGCACTCAGAGCCCTCTCTGTGGGCACGCGTGCCATCGCCCCAACCAGGCCCAGACCGTCATTAAAGTGTTGAATTCTCTGCCAAATAATTTTAAGTAAATGAAAGCATTTGGGATTGCTTTCCTTACTTTGTTTGGATCATCTTAAGTTAATGTATGGGTGGTTTTTTCTAAAGTAAAACCTCAGTATTCAGGTTAAATTGCCGTGTTGGCACTTTGCAATAAATAAGTGGGTTTTGGGTCGCAGTTTGGGCACTTGGTCTCTAAAAGGTTCACCATCACTGGCATATGGCTACCTACGAAAGAAAACTACCTGTATTGTAATAACTAGCATGTCAGAGAAGTTGGGCTGGCGCCTGTCACCCTAATATGCTAATTTTCTAGATACAGGGATTTACATTTTTTGGTTCTAGCAGACAGGCTGCCACCTGCACTGTACCATGAGCCCTGATCCAAGTTGGCCTCCAAAGATAGGGATGAGGGTCTCACCACTGGTGTCAGAAGAGCAGTGAACGAGGGAGTTCTGTTTTCAAGTTTGGTGGTGGAAACTGTATGGTGTCCAAAGTAAGAGATGTTCAGAGGTGGTTTACTCTCAAGAGTCTTCTCCAGCACCATAATTCAAAAGCATCTATTCTTCAGCACTCGGCCTTCCTTATGGTCCAACTCTCGCAGCCAGACATTACTACTGAGAATATCATTGCTTTGACTATACAGACTTTTGTTGGCAGAGTGATGTCTCTACTTTTTATTATGCTGTCTAGGTTGGCCATCAGCAGGCGTCTTTTAATTTCATGGTTGCAGTCACCGTCTGCAGTGATCTTGGATCAGTTACTTGGTACTTGGCTTAGAAATACCCAGTGCCAACACAGCCTGTTAGAGGTTACAGCAAATACATTAATCATCTAATATTTTTTGACCTAAACAGTAATGCGTGGCCTATTGTAATCCTTATATATATAATTCCCTTACGTATTGGCCATTTCCAGCTCTCCCATTGGCTGTGCAGTGCGCTCCACCAGCCATTGGCCCATCAACTGCCACTCAGGAGTACTCGCATGCCATTGGCTAGGTACTGGGTCCGTCTTCTCCCCCACCCACTGCCAGCCTGGACACTCTTCTCTCACAGAATAAGCTGCCAAACGGCTGTCTCTCCTGAGGAAGGCAATTCTCCTCCTTGGCTCCTGTGGGATTAACTTTTCCCTCAGTGGCTGTTGCTAGGCAACCATGCTTGGTTCTGTCAGTAAAAAGGCAGGAGGCACTTTCCAGGCCTTTGTAGGGAACTCATTGGGGCCAGTCCTGACTAGGGTTGCCAACTCCAGGTTGGGAAATTCCTCGATATTCTGTGGTGGAGTCTACAGAAGCCAGAGTTTGGGGAGGGGAGAGGCCTCCGCTGAACAGAATGCCATAGAGCCCACCCTCCAAAGCAGTTATTTTCTCCAGGGGGGAGAGATCTGTTGTCTGGAGTTCAATTGTGATACCCAGTGATCTTCAGGCTCCATCTGGAGGTTGGTTACCGTAAGGTGTAGCAGTTAGCGCTTCAGAACAGGGTCTGCCAGACCCAGGTTCTTGCTGTGGAAGTTGAGTGGGTGATTTCAGACCAGTCACAGACTTTCAGCCTAACCTACTTCACAGGGTTATGCAGATCAAAAGGAGGAGAAGAGAATGATGTAAGCTGCTTTGGTCTCCACTGTGAACAAAGTCTGTACTTTTCCTCCTGGGGAACCATTGCTGCCAATCTCCGGGTGAGGGCTGGAGATCACTCAGAATTGAAACTGCTCTCCAGATGGCAGAGATCAGCTCCCCTGGAAAAAAGTCTGCTTTGCAGGGTGGACTCTGTCATTATACCCTGCTAAGGTCACTTCCCTCCTTCTTGGGTCCCCACTGCAGGGAAAGACTGTACTTTTCCTAGGTAGAGGCTACAGGGATGGGGGGGAAAGATGGAAACCTGAAGTCAGAGGGGCAGATAATGGTACGTTGATGGTTGGCTGGGAAGGAAATAGGGTTGCCACCTCCGGGTTGGGAAATTCCTGGAGATTTGAGGGGTGGAGCCTGGGGAGAGTGGAGTTTGAGGAGGGGTGGGACCTCAGACAGGTACAAAGCCATAGACTCCACCCTCCAAACCAGTCATTCCCTCCTGGGAAACCATTGTTGCCAATCTCCAGGGGAGGGTTGGGGATCACTCATAATTACAACTGCTCTTCAGATGGCAGAGATCAGTTCCCCTGGAGAAAACGGTAAGCTTTGAGTCATTATATCCTGCTGAGGTCACCATAGCAAATTGACGCTAAGTGCCCAAGGCCAGGGCACCCGCCCAGAGCTTCTTTCTAGAGCTTGTATTTATTTCCACAACGGGCCTTATTCCTAGTCCACAATAATCTAGCTATCAAACTCTACTGCTTTTGTCCATCTCCGTGCAGTTGATAAACACCAATTAGCTCCTGTCTGTACTAAATTTCTGCCACCAGCATCTGAAGAAGTCGGTTTTGGTAAAATCAGAGTGGGGTAGTTCTCATCCTCATATAAAGGGGTGTGTATGTGTTGCAGGCCGATTTTAAAAAGGGAAAGTATAAAATGCCTTGCTGCCTCCACCCCCAAAGAACCTCAAATGTAAAATACTAGATAGGTTAACTCCCCCTCTACCTACCTCTTATGTAATCCACTTAAAACCTGCCTTTAGGGATGGCAAGGTAGTCAGCAGTCGGTCTTTTAGAGTGATTAATGCTGCTTGAATTCTGTGATCCTTTCAGCCATCCACTCCCACCTCCACACAGCAAACTGACGACTTCTTGGGCTGGATCCCATTTTATTAAATAAGGCAAAAAGGAGACAGAAAAAATGAACCATATAGCAAAAGCATCCAGTCTAGACAAGATCAAAGCACTCTTGGAGGAGGGAGCTTTTGCTATTGCCAGCACTGCAGAGTGCACCCACTGTCCACAATTGGTAGTCAAAGTTCCAGCCTTGGCCTTCCTGGAAAAATGCCAAAAAAAAACCCCACAAACCCTGACAGTCCACAGGAAGAGGCAGAGACATCCAAAGGTCTGGCCTGGTCTCTGCAGCCACAGCCCTAACCGAGTTACTTCTCATCCTCCTCTGAATCACTGCTCTCCTCGCTCTCTGTGTAGCCATAATTCACACGGTTTGTGTTCACAAACAGGTCACTGTCATCGTCCTCGGAGTCCTCTTCCCCTGCAGAACGCGGGGGGCTTTGCGCTCCTTCCCTGTTGGGGGCAATTAAAACCATTTTGCATAAGGGTAGGTTCTATTAAGATAGCAGAGGCTTGCTTTTTTTTTTTAAGAGCAACTTGTTTTGAACATAACATAAGAACATAAGAGACGCCAATGTTGGATCAGGCCAAAGGCCCATCCAGTCCAACACTCTGTATCACACAGTGGCCAAAAATACCAGGTGCCATCAGGAGGTCCAGCAGTGGGGCCAGGACACTAGGAGCCCTCCCACTGTTGACCCCCCCAAGCACCAAGAAGACAGAGCATCACTCGCCCCAGAGCCCCTATCTATACCTTGTGGCTAATAGCCCCCGATGGACCTCTGCTCCATATGCTTCAAAAGGGAATTAGATAAGCATATGGAGCAGAGGTCCATCAGTTGAAGGATTCCAACGGAAAACTGTAGCTTTAACTGGGACTGCTGGCTGCCACGCCCCCTGCTTCTCTTGCCTGAAGGCCTCCAACTCCTGGGCTCAAGTACTTCATATCAGACACAAGTGATCAAAGGTCACCACCAACCCAAGATCTGCTCCGCTTGTATCCTTAGTAGACTACCCTTGCTCCCTTTTGGAAGCTGTGACACCAACCCCCAGCTTCTGGCCATTACAGAGGACTCATGACGTCTCCTTACCCCCCAAAAAACAACCTTGGCCCAAAACTTACCTGTCTTTAGCACTGCTCTGAGTTCCTGAAGCATCCGATAGGAAGGCAGCAGGCCTGCAGATATTTTTAAAAATGGGAGAGACAGTGGGAAATACTGCAATAGACATGTCCAGTAGCACCTTAAAGACCAATTAGGGTGGTCAAAGCTCCCTTCCTCAGGTACCAGTAGAATGGAGACCCCCCCTTATACCCCAATCAGAAGGTGAGAGGAAGGTTGCTAAGAAGAGAGTCAGGAGGATGCAAAGGTACAATGCAAAATGGAATCAACTTGGTTTAGAAAAAGGGCAAAAAGCTTTGGGCCATACTGGGAAATACTGGTGGGGTTTGAAAGATCAGGCAAAGCTACCACAAGACAAGCTGGAACTGGAAAGGGAAAACCTCTGCAACCACAATTTATAGAAGATGGCAGTTACTGAGGAGGTCCAGAATCAGCCAACAAGGACAGATGCTGATACAGCTCTTTTCCAGCTCTGCTACAGCAATACTCATGAGAAGGGGGCTCCAAATTTGATTAGAGATCCAGGTGCGGTGTTGTCTGACTTAAATTCTCCTTCCTTCAAGCTTACAGGTTAGTCCTAGAGGAAAAAACTGATGGCACCCCCCCCCCCCAATTTACCAGTATCCTTCCTTCTTCAGAAAGCAAATGTGATCCTTGTACAGCACGAAACTTATTTCCGCTTTTACTTTCTCCCCTTCTTCTATGGGATCCACCAGCAGGAAGTCACCTGAGAAGGAGGGACAGATGTTGCTGGAACAGACTATTTTGGCATGGGTGGGGGAGGGCAAGGTGAAGAGACAGAACTTTTCATCCCCCCCCCTGCAGCAGAGTCCCACACCAACCTCTCTTGATCCAAATGTTCTTGCGGAATTTGGTGGGCATGCTCACAAGGAACCTTGCCCCTTCTGGCGTCTCCACCTCATGGAGGTTATTGCCTGGTGTCCCCAGCACCTGGAAGAAAAAGAAGGAGAGACTGTCTTTAAGAGCCAGTGCAGTACAGTAGCTAAGAGACTGAGCTGCCAAATTGGGGAAGCCCTGTTTTGAACTCCCTGCCATGAGTCCGCTAAAGGTGACCTTAGGCAAGCTGTGTTCTCTCAGGCTCTATCCCTCAGCTGGAATGACAGATGGTGACCTACCTTAAAGGGCTGTTGTACAAGGTAATGTACAGGGAGTACTGCAGCTAAAAACAGCTATATGGTATAATAATAATTACAAAAGGCTAGATTTAATGAAGAATGAGCAGATGAGTACTTGCTGATGGGACTGTTTTCCTGGTTCCCCCTTTTTACCAATCCCTGAAATCCCCAACCACCTTTCTCTGAAGATTATGAAAAACAAATGGACAAAAAGTGATGCACCCCAGAGGGATTGCAGTCACACCCTCCTTGCTCTTGCATCAACCGAGCATGTTGCTCCAAAGGAACCATCACAGGCAGAAAAAGATATTTTTTTTTGTCCAAACAGGTCCCGTGACTTTCACCATCAGCTTTTGGGAGCTGTCAGGGATTTCCTGGGAGACAGCAGGAAAAGGTCCCTGTCTGCCCTTGTCCTTGCTCGTCATTTGACCCGCCTCATAATATATACGAATAATTAAAGTCATCCTTTGTATCTGACAAAGTGAGCTGTAACTCACAAAAGCTCATACCCTGCAAAAATCTTGTTGGGTCTCTTACGGTGCTACTGGACTCATATTTTGTTCTGCTACTACAGACTAACCTGCCTACCCACCTACATTTCCTTGCCATGGAAGGTTTCCGAGCACTCTACAAACACCGGAATCATCACACTTCTCTCAAGGGGGGCCTGTCTTGGGCCTGGCTACATCCACTAGCTCAATTCTGTTTTTGCAACTTTTCATCTGCGGCCAAAACAGAGGTAGGCCCAAGACCGCTGAATGAGCCTATGGCCACAGCGGGTGTGGACCTGGGTCCCAGAACACAACAGCTACCCATGCCTGAAGCCAGCTCACTATGGAAAGCAAAGAAAGTCACAGCCAGCCCAGACCGCACAGAGTAGGGCACTCCATTCTCACCCGGACAATCTGCTGCCGCTCTGAAGGCACCACGCACTCCGCCAGGACTTCTTTCACCACATGCTTGCGCTTCGTGGCCTGGGACATGCTGTTTGGTTAGCCCTGGGGAATGGACTCCCTGCTGACTGCGTGAGGCGAGAAACAGCTTGCCGAGCGTGCTCGTGCTTTTGGAGGCTGCAAGGGGTAAGTCAGAAGAATTAAGGGAGCAGCACTAGAGATCCTTTAGAGGTCCAAATGGCAACTGGAAGGGAAGGAATGCTGCCAAGGAGTCAGGATGTGGAGACAGGGGGCAAGCCTATTATCACATAATTTTGTTCATGAGGCCAGCATCTCTTCGGTTATTAGGACACAGATACTGATCTCTAGAGTCCAGCTAGAGGTCCACAGGGCATAATTCTATCCCACTATTCAACCTCTGCGTAAAGCCCTTAGGGCAAATCATTTTCACTTTTGGGAGCTGGCTGTCATCAAAACTCCACCGACCTCTACATCCCCTTATCCAAATCTCCTAGTGATACTGTAGGCATTGCTTATTTGGATGTCCCATCCTGTTGATCACATTGATTCACAATGCATAATCCGCCTTGAGTCTCAGTAAGAAAGACAGACTATAAATAACATAAATAGAATAAAATAACAAGGGCATACTGAGAGAGAACCGGCTGCTTCTTTCCTTGAAGGGAAAAGAGACCAAGGTCTCCACTTCAGTGACAGGGAAGAGCTCCCTGCCTGCTAGATCTTACAAAGTGAAGATGGATCAGTCAGTTCTGACTTGTCCTCCTATAAGAAATGGGCAGACGTTTCACCAGTTTGAGATCTCAAGAAAGCAGACCTGTTTCCAGGGACAGCCAAGGTCATCTGAGTTCAGTGGCTGTGGATCCAGTGTTGATTTCACTCCCTGGGACATTCACAAGTTGGAAAGAGCTGAAAGATTGAGAGGTGGGGTGAGAGAGGAAGCATGTGATTTAGAAAATCTCTCATCACCACAGCCAGATCATTGTCTCTTTTGGAAAAGAAAAATGCAAATATTTTTTTCTTTCCTAGTAGCACAGCTGCAACCTCCTGAGCATTTCAGTTAGTTTTCTATAATTTCTGACTCTAGGACACTTTGCTGGATCAAGGACTCACTCAGCTGTAGCCCAGCACTCCACTTCTGAGGGTAGCCAAGTACCTCTGGGAAGCTCCCAAGCAAGGAAGTGAGTTCCTCATGTTGCTTGCCCACAAGGTGAACTGCCAGTGATGATCTAAACTCAAGGCTATCATCCCAGCTTGTGGCAATTAATTCCACATGCCATTTGCACAGCACATGATTTTAAAAAACACACACCCTTATTTTACCTGTCCTGAACCGACACAGCATACACATCTTGCTTTAAGCCTCAGGATTCAGAGAGCGTCAAAGATATAATCTACACCTTACAATACCTCTGTAAGGTAGGCCCATTGTTATTATCCCAATGGCTGCCAACCTCCAGGTGGGGTCTGGTGTTCTCCTGAAACTGGAACTGATTACAGAGATGAGCTCCCCCGGAGAAAGAAGTAGCTTCGAAGGGTTGACTTTATAGCATCACGTCCCTCCTGAACACCTTCCCTCCCCAAACTCTCCTCTCCCCGGGTTCGGCCGCTAAATCTCTAGGAAATTCCCAACCCGGAGTTTTATCCCTCTTATTACGGATTTTCGCAAAGGGAGACCAGGATTTCTACACAGGCTGCATTTTTAATCCCGTTTCTCCTGAGTCCCACTATCCTATTCTACCCAGCCCCTTCCTTCGCGAGTACCTGCTCGAGAACGTGCACCGTCTCCTTCGCCCTGAAGCATGAAAACAGAAACTTCCTGTTTCCGGTCCCACAGAATCAACTTCTGGGTGCATCACTGTAATAGTTCCCCCTAACGCCTAAGTGCCCATCCTAGAATCTTTCCGCCGTTAAAATGGAGTCCTATACTTGATAACAAGGTATAGCGGCTTTGTCATTCGTTTGAGTCGGCGTTGTTATCGATAGTTTACTAATCATTTGTCGAAATCATTCTACAGCCACTGCTGGAGCGCTCATTTGCTCAGTAATAGTATAACCTAATTTCTTCTGTCTTGGGGATTGCCGAAGTTCTCTGGGGCTCAAATCTGTATGAGACGCATGTACTTGTACTGGCAGAAGAGAAGCGTGATTTCGGGGGGAAATATACGCACTTTGGGATTGTTTTTTAGAGGACACTGCGGCTTCTACTGGACATCATGCTTATAGGACCGTGGACGCTTAAAAAACAACAACACCTCAATTGGTTTTCAAAATACTGATTACTTAGGACACATGAACCTGCTTTTTACTGAGACACCATTGGTCCCCAGGACTCAACACGGATATTGGGGTTTTAAAAAATCTCATTACATATGCTAACTCATTCAGTCCTCGCATAGGTATTTTCAACAAGGACTATAAATCCTCTGTATTTTAGTGTATTTCTTTGTTCCATTGGTCTCACGGCCACTAGGGGCTCTCCAGGATCTCAGGAAGAGGTCTTTCCCATCATCTAAAGAACTTTTTAATTGGGGATGCTGAGAATTGATCCTGAAATTAGAGTTGCCAACCTCCAAGTGGGGCCTGGGGATCTCTTGGAACTACAACTGATATCCAGCTGACAGAGATCGTTTCGCCTGGAGAAAATGGCAGCTGTGGAAGGTGGAATCTATGGCTTTATACCAGGGGTGGCCAAACTGTGGCTCGGGAGCCACATATGGCTCTTTCACACATATTGTGTGGGTCCCAGCCAGTGTTCCCCTCCCTGGGTAGGCTTGAGGTGTGGGGGGGAACAGAGAAAGAAAGAAACTTTTTACTTTCAATGTGTTCTCAAAGCCCCCCCCCCCGCCTACAAATATCATTGGATGAATAAATATCATTATCAATATCTGTTTTTACCCCTTTTGTTTTTATTTTTGGTAGTCTCATTTAATGTTAATACAAAGCAAATTTGCATAATTTTCAATAAAAACATGTGTAATATTTGTTCACGTCTTGTGGTTCTCAAACATCTGATGTTTATTCTGTGTGGCTCTTAGGTTAAGCAAGCTTGGTCACCCCTGCTTTATACCTTTATGAAGATCCTGCCATCAACAAATCCCACCATAGAATCCAGCAGTCCTGTCCCATCCTGCTATTTCTCGGGTGTGATTTCTAGTGAGCAAAAGGTAACTTCTTTCCTACTTGAGCCCTGCACTGATGAAGACTGGTTAATGTCCTGGAGTGGATTCCTTGTGTTGAGGCATATAAAAGCAATAGCAATTTGAATGGCACACTCTCAGGAGTGGCCAGGAAGATAAATTAATTTTGAAACATACATTCAGATTTCTTCAGACATGCTAGGCTGATCTCTGTAGCCTGGAGATCAGTCAGAATTCTGGGAGAACTCCAGGCTTCACCTAGAAGCTGGTAATAAGAGATGTGAAGGCCCAGAAAAAAATCAGAGGGAAAATTCTGAGTCTAGATATTACAATGCCAAGACCACAGCCATACAGCCTGGAAAATCTACAACAACTAATGAACTCTGGCCGTGAAAGCCTTTGACAACATATTAAATTCTGAGTCCTTTTCTTCCCCTTCAGTTTTTTCTGATGGAGTACTGAAAAAATTTTGGGGAGTACTGGGGGAAAAAACCCACCTATGAAATACTTTCTCTTTTAGAATGAATTAAATTATTTTAAATACAACATGGGCATACTATAGATATATATAGCTCTTAATCCAAGATGCATTTCTGTATCTAGAAGGATGCCTAACTTTTAAGATGATTATTTTCACCTCTCCTTCACACCACTATGACACATTTACCTACGGATTTGGTAAAAAGTAGCTTATTGCCCTACCTTGTAAGGGGGGGGGGGAGATCAGAAGGGGTTGGGACACAAACTGTACAGATACATCAGAGGAAAAGTGGAAGTTCCACTGAAAACACCGCTCTCTCTAACCAGATAGCAAAAATTAATATACATGAGCTAAGATAGCATACGGAGTATCAGCTTGCAGTTTTCTCTCAAGTACTGGGTATATTTGCAATTTTGCTTATACAAAACTAAGGCACTTATAACTTTCATAAGTATGTCAAATATTACAATCTTATATGCAAGTTTAGAAATGATGCATTTTATGTTGTTAAAGCAGTGAGATTAGTTTAGGTTGGAACTATTGCACATGTTTTAATTCTCCTCCCCAAAATTCCATTATTTTCCAGGTGGTGGAGGTGGGAAGGTTTTTTCCCCCTGTGGCTTCAACATTTTCCACAAATTTTACATCTCTAGTTGGTGATCCTAGATAGACCTAGTAATATTGCACTGTTTTATAACTTTGTCATCCAAACGATTACAGTACTATTTATTGCATGTTTTATATTTTCCCTGTTGTGTTGTTTAAAAGTTTTCAGTCTGCCTTCAGTCTCAGCTAGTAAGGTGGACTATAATAAAGTAAATAAGTAAAAGTTTAACTAGGGCTAGCCAGACATTCCAAGTCATTGCTGCAGAAAAAGCAAAGAATAACAAAACCACAAAAACTGTGAGCTGTATGTGGGACTATGATACATTGAAGCAGCCTTTAGGGGTGCGGGTTAGAGCTAAGGACACCTTGCCCAACATAGAGTGAGTATATATTATACTAGTTTTGTGGTCCATACATTGTGCTGCTTCTAATTTTAAGGTAAAATTCTGAGGAATTCTCTTTTACAGAATAATAGAAAAGCATTATCTTATAAGGAGATGGAATGACACTTTCAGCAGCTGGTAAGATCCAATGTGACTCTAGTTTTGAGAATCTATGTAACAGTGATAACAATGTAATTATGTTATTAATGTAAAAGGGTTCTTTTGTAATATTGGTATTATTCTTTATGAAATAGTTAAAATAAGTGTTATTGCATTTTGTACTTTTTACAGTTCTTTGTTCCTGAGGAAGGGCCAGAGGTCTGAAACACTGGAAGAATTACCTAGGAAAAGTGTTGGACTTTTTGGATATTTATCTTGTATATTAATTCTTTGGCTTCTTTATTTCCCTATGATGGACTGTATGGTTAGATTTAACTCAGACAATAGATGCATTTCACTTTAAATGTAGTCTCCTTTGTGAATATTCTGCAGGCAATTCAGCTCACAGTTGTTTTTGTGGTTTTGTTATTCTTTGTTTCTTATTACTGTGTGCTGCACTTTTGTTGTTGTATTGCTGCAGAAAAAGAGTGAAGCTACCGGCAAACCTTAAAGCCAATGCAGCTGTTCCTCAGGATCAGGAATGTTTCAGAAGATTTACAAGTGCAGAAGCTGCCAGACCAAGGTTGCGAAGCTCCAGGTGGGGCCTGGAGACCTCCTGTAATCACAAGTGATCTCCAAACTACAGCAATCCGTTCCCCTGGAGAAAATGGCTGCTTTGGAGGGTGGACTGTATTTATTTATTTAACACATTTATTAGCTGTCTTTCAACCTTACAGAACTCAAAGCAACTTACAATATAGATAAAGGACATAAAATATGTTTTTTTAAACACCAACATTTAAAATCACTATTTAGGCTATTATGGCATTGTACCCCACTGAGGTTCCTCCCCTCCCGAAACCCCCCCCTCCTCAGGCTCCACCTCCAAATCTCCAGGTATTTCCTTTTTTTTTTTTTAAGCCCCCGAAGGGGATTTTTTATTTATTTTTAACACTACAAATAACTACAACAGAAAATGAGGGGAGGGAATACTACATATACGGGAGAAAGTAAAGTACCCACTACTAACTAAAAACCCAAGAGAGGAGATCCTCCAACTAGCTTAGTTACATCAAGTCTTCTCATCGTTGTAACTTTTATAAACTGAGTCAAAACATTTAAAAACTTTTACCCTTAGAGTTTCATTTAACTGTCTAGTATAGTACCCCCAATCATCCTCCAGAACCAAAGTTCTCAAAGGCACAAATCAGAGTCCTTCAGCCTTTACTTCTTCTTTTCCCTTCTCTTCCTCAGTTTGTAGGGACTTTTGGGGGCAGCTGCTCAGACAAAGAGTCCTCACCGGACGAACCCGTTTCCAACTCACCACTGGACTTGCTATCCTCTTCTTTTTTCTCGTCCTCTGGCCTTCCCAGCTGTTCCTTTAGAAACTCTTGAGCTTTCAGAACAGAGTGTATCTTTTCTTTTTTTGTCCTTTGTCTTGAATGTTACACTTTCTGGAAATAGCCATTTATATCCAATTGAGTTTGTTTGGAATGTGCGCTTGACCGCTTGTCTTCGTTTGGGTAAGTACTTCTAGACAGTTTCTATCGCGTTTTCTTCTGCTCCCCCCCTCAATCGCTCAAAAGTTCATGCGCATGAGAGGCGTCCCTCCCCCGCTCGCTTTCCCCCCCGTTCGGTAGGGAAGGGTGGGGAGCTACTTTTCCTCTTTAAATGCTACGAGATTGACTCACGTTCATAATCGGTCTTTCGACCTCGCTTTCATTTCTTTTTATGCCGCGTGATCTCCGTCGCTCGACCCGGTCAGCGTTGCTAAGCCCATTTGGTCTCTCGGCACGGAGAACCGTCGGAACACAGAGGTGCCTCAATTCTCGGGCATTCGGCCCTTGAAGTGGCAGCCTCTTGCAAGTTCCATGGCCAGGGTCCCTTCGCCGGGACCCTGGGGGGGGGGTTGCGAGCCTGCGCACCCCCTTCTTCGGCCGGAGCGCAGCCTCACCCCCAGGAGGTCCAGAAGGTGCGACTGCTAGCACACCGCCATAAACCGGAAGTCTCTCCAGGTATTTCCTGACCTGGAGTTGGATGGAAACCCTATGTCAGGCTGCTGCCCACACTGGTAAACTAGCAAAAGGTTCTGCTGGCTACAGATGATCAACAGTAAATGGCTGTTCAGGTTGTTTTCTGATGAGTAATGGAGTAGGATACTGGAATATTGAAAGTTGGAGGGGCTGTGCTCATGAATCCTGTGACTCCTTGGGCTTGCTGTATTTAATGGTAAGTTGCACACTGAACGAGCAGTTTTGCCTCCTGCCAGAAGAACTGCAGCAATACCAGATGAAGCAACAGCAAGCGAAGTCATCCCTTTTGGCAAACTGTAGCCAGAACTAGAATTATAACAAATGTAATCTCTCACGTTTCTCTCCAAAGAGGTCCCAAAGCTGCTTACGTTGTTACATACATATTGATGTTGCACATTGGCCCTGATAAAGTGATTGCACTTGTAATCTTAGGACCTAAACTGGGAGGTGCATATTGGCAATATTACTTTCTCCAGTATATGTAACTGCCACTGACACAAGGCCAGATACATATCTTTTTGTGTCATTCAATTCCAGATTGGAACATTTGTGTTTAGGTCCTATATCAATTGTTTACTGCCTTACAAGTGTAACCAGGGCTTTGTTGTATTCTGTACTACTTGACCTCTGAAGAAGGCTATTTGTACTGAAATGTGTCAGGTCATATATGGTTCCTTTTGTGTATTTGTCACTTTTGATTATATTATGAGGCTTTACTTGGTCTCCTACAAGGTTTTTAACTGTTACACACATGTACTCTTGTCTATAATTATTGATGTTTTTAACTTTTGGTCCTAGTTTTCTAAACTTCCTTTGGAGGTTCTGACTGTAACCATTACACCAGAGAGCCAGTTTGGTGTAGTGGTTAAGAGTGGCTGACTCTAATCTGGAGAACCAGGTTTGATTCCCCACTTCCCCACTTGAAGCCAGATGGGTGACGGGCAAGTTACAACACTCTCAGCCTAAAAATAAGCTTAGCTCGCCACCTAGTGGCGCCAAAAAAGAGCTACATCTTCAGCAGCCAAACAGTCCCCCCACCCCCGGACCTCCTGTCTATTCCACACACAACACCATATGATAATTTCGATTTACTACTATACCACACCGGCTCTGATAGCTATGGGAAGCTGTTAAACCTCCTTTGTTTTGTTAGAGTTCGACTCCACCTTCCCTGTCTGTCCTTGCTGGCTTCTCATGAGTGAGATAATCTGTGCCAAGATGACAGGATTCCCTTCATTTTGGGCACTGCAATTCCCATGATCATCTTGAAGTCAGTGGCCAAGCTTGAGATTCCTCACTTTATTTTCTGGTGAGTTATGCCTGCCGCGGAAGGGAAGGTGATGTGATGTAGCTTGATCTTGTCAGATCTGGAAGCTAAACAGGGCTGGTACTTGGAAGGGAGACCTCTGAGAAAAGACTCTGCAGAGGAAGGCCATGGCAAAACACCTCTCCTTCTCACTTGCTTTGAAACAGCAGTCCAAGAGGCACCCACTGGATTGTGGAGTGCCTCAAGGGGCAGTGCTTTCCACGATGCTATATAACATCTATATGCGCCCCCTTGCCCAGATTGCCCGGAGGCATGGGCTGGGATGTCACCAGTATGCTGATGACACCCAGCTCTATCTGATGGTGGGTGGGTGGTCCAACTCCAGGCCGGAAGACCTGGACCAGGCATTACAAGCCATGGCTGGTTGGCTTAGGATGAACTGGCTGAAACTTAATCCGATGAAGACGGAGGTCCTGTGCCTGAGTTGGAGCAGGCCAAGGTTAGGGACCCCTCTCCTGACCTTTGATGGGGTGCCGTTGGTGCCAGCGCCGGAAGTTAGGAGCTTGGGAGTGCTCCTGGATGTCTCCTTAACAATGGAGGCCCAGGTAGTAGCCACTGCCAGGTCGGCCTTGTACCATCTTTGGCTGATTAGGCAGTTGGTTCCCTTCCTTGATCACGCCAACCTAACAATAGTGACCCATGAGATGGTCACCTTAAGATTAGACTACTGTACCGCTCTCTACATGGGGCTGCCCTTGTCACAAATTCAGAAGCTACAGCTTGTGCAGAATGCTGCAACCAGGCTTCTGATGGGTCTCCCCAGGTGGGAGCACATCCAGCCTGTGCTGAGGACACTGCACTGGCTGCCAATAGCATACTGAATTCACTTCAGAGTGCTTGTTCTCACCTTTAAAGCCCCATATGGCCAGGCTCCGACATTTCTGAGGGACCACCTTTCCCCATATATACCCCAGAGAGCACTACAGTTGGGGTCTCAAAATCGATTGACCCTCCCAGGCCCCAAGGATGCCAGGCTTGCTACCGCCAGGGCTTTCTCAGTGGTGGCTCCATACTGGTGGAATGAGCTCCTGGAGGAGATCAGGGCCCTGCGGGATCTCTTACAGTTCCGCAGGGCCTGCAAGATGGAGCTCTTCTGCCAGGCTTTCAACTAGGGAGCCCCGGCCCTTGGTTTTGACACCTAGCCTGTGCTGCAGGAAGATCATGAGCAGAAGGTTTGCTAGACCTCTGTGTATACTTGGAAAATAAGCCATCGCAAACAACTAATTAACCAGCACTTTATGAATTTGCATTAGTTATAACTGAATTGTTTTAATGATTTTATGTCGTTTTAATTGTACTTATGCATTGATTGTGAGCTGCCCTGAGCCTGCTTTGCAGGGAGGGCGGGGTACAAATGAGATGAATAAATAAATAAAAATAAAGGCCCGTGCTGGAGGTTGCCGTAAGGCAGCAGCAGCCTGCCACAGATAACCATAGCTTCTAAAGCAAAAACGTGGGGTGGGGGTGAGGTTTTGTAGGGATTGCCTCGGTGAGGATGTTACAGCAGTGCCCAAAATCATTCAAAAGACTGTAGGCCCAATGTTTAGGTTCCCAGCTTTGTTCTGGGGTGAATTATGCCTGTCATAGTCAACTGTACCTTTCAGTGCAAATGGCTTTTTTGGGGGGGGGGGGGAAGCAGAGGTAACCTGGGCCACAATGTTCTGAGTCCCTGATAGGGTTGCCACCTCTAGGATGGGAAAGGGAGGGACTTCAATGGGGTATAAGGCCATAGAGTCCACCTTCCAAAGCGGCTGTTTTCTCCAGGTGATCTAATCTCTGTTGCCTGGAGATCAATTGTAACCCCAGGTCTCCAGTCACCACCTGGAGGTTGGCAACCCCAGTCCCTGAACAGGGTTTGTTCGAATTTCATATGCATAGCTTTATTTATTTATTTATTTATTGGACGAGCTGTTCCTTCAACAGAAGACTCCGAAAGCAAAAAGCAGAGGACGTGCGGCGGTTACTCTGGTCCGGATGATTTAATCCCCTTCGTGTTCGGCCTCTGCAACACCCATGACCCTCCTGAAGCCCACGGCCGATTCTGAGGCTCCTGGCTTAATTTGCTGAGCGACTGGCATGTACCGCAGGCAGACGGCTCTTTTTATTACAGGTCTGTTGTATTACATTCCCACGATGGCTGCTAACTTTATTAAAATATTTAAATTGATTTGTGGCTGTAAGCCTAGAACACACACAGGAACATGCATAATCCTTTTTAATGGGTGGATTGTGCAATCCATCATCACTTATTTTAAGTGTCTATAGCCAGAGGCTGGCGGCTGGCTTAACTCAGAACCATCTTCTGTCCTATAATAACCAGTTCTAAGGGGAAACCTTAAAGAGTTGAACGCCTGAGCTGGATGGCCCAGGCTAGCCTGATCTCATCAGAGCCTGGCAGCTAAGCAGGGCCGGCCCTGGTTAGTACTTGGATGGGGGAGGCCACCAGGGAAACCCAGGCTTGTGACACAGAGGCAGGCGACAGTAAACCACCTCTGTTAGACTCTTGCCTTGAAAACCCAATGGGGTCGCCCCTAAGCTGGCTGTGGCATGACACTCCCTCTCAGCTGTGGAGTCTTGTGAGCAAAAATTCTACTCTGTGAGCTACTGGCATTAATGTTGTGAGCGAGCGATTTGGCTGCTGCATAAGTCAGTTTGGTCTGGAGCCATCCTTCCTGAGCGAAAACAAAAATGTGGGAGCTGGAGGCTAAAAAAGTGTGAGCTAGCTCACACTAACTCAGCTTAGCCTGTGACCTGATGGCACTGGACACACAAGGTAAACACATCTACTAAGTGACTTCAGCTGCCCGCAGAAAAGAAAGCTACTGGGAAGCACAACGCATAAAGCCTCATCATGAACCAGGCTGTGCAGCAGATGAGGTGGAGTGTAAACACCTCCACACACAGCACGATGCAACCACCACTCAGGTTATAAAGCACACCGTAGCAGTTGGGTGACAGAAGAACACATGGGAACCAGGTTTAGTAGTCTGAGCCAAGTAATAGCACAGAGGGCCCCCCCCCACTCCGTACTCATGAGGCCTCGAGTCAAATTACACCACATACACAAGGCAAGTTCATGACATCGGCCTTTATTAAAGTGGAACTTCAGAAGACAAAATGCCGTGGCTCTGAACAGACTAGATCCACAGCATCAGGCAGCGAGTTTCTCAAAACAGTCCTCTTCTAGTCCAGGACCTAGCCACTTCAGCACCAAGATCAGTTAGGTATTTAAAAAAAAAAAGTAACAGGCTTCAACCTCTGAAGGGATATCCATTGAAGCAGAGGGATCTTTCGCTCTCTAAACTCAAGCAAAGACCAAGGCGGGAAACACTTTACGCCCACCCTCTGTAACATGTAGCTTCCATAACACTTTTTTTAAATATATAGAAACGGAAAAGTTAGTGCAGCCACTTGAAAAAGACTCCACAGTCCGGTGGAGCCATGTTTACTTTAAAAAACGGACACCAAACATGGGGGGGCGGGGGCCAGAAGCGTGCACTGCTGCAGCTGAAGCAGTGCTCAGGGTTGGCCGTGATGAAGACCAAACCTGGTATGAGAGGGGAACTTCCCGGCTCTCGTGCTCTTACAGTTCCTTACTGACCAACCTGCCGCCAGTTGCATGTTAATACTGGGCCTGCAGAGCACACATGGAAAGAAGCATGATCGGGGGTGGGGGGGAGGAAGAGATTGGACTCTTAATACTACAGGCATTTCTTCCCAGTGTATTAGGAGGAGGAGCCGACGGTGGAAACGGAGTCTCCATGACTCCATGTTCCTATGACCTTTCCACCAAGTCTTTCCAAGGACCGTATTGGTCTGACCTAACGGGAACAGGGCCATCCCCTTAATAACAGAATAGGGGACCCTGCCTTTCAGTGCTGCGATCCAGAGGAAAAAGAGACAGTTGGGGGTGGAAGGTGACAGATCTCACCATTTCTCCACAGTGTAGTGTTTGGTACAGAAGGGAGTGGTGCCAGAACTTGTCCCCCCTTCAACTCTATAACTGAAGGAATATTCACTTTCACGCTTATTTACACAGCAAGAACAGGGAATCTATCAAGTCGGGCAGCAACAGAGGGCCAGGTGAGGCTCTCAGAGCAGCCAGGTTAGATGTTATGAAGCCTACAGCTGAGGCTGCGGCGTCTTGAAGCCCATCTGGCCCAGCACTACTTACACTGAGAGGCTCTCCCAAGACTCGGGCCAAAGTCTTTCCAAGCCCCAATACGTAAACTCCTAGGACTGCCTGGGAGCAAGAGGCTTCCCAAGTGTTAAGAAGCAATATCGAAGGTTTTGAGTTCGTGGAAACTCAGTCCCCTCCTGAACTAGATTCCCTTCGGTCAATTCTTAAATCTTTCTGCCTCCAAATAAATAAAATGGAAATGGGGAAGGGGGGGGGGGAGGAGGCAGAACGTGGACTAGCGGAAGGCCTGCTACCTGCAAGGAGAAAGTCCCGTTCACCACCATATATGCAGAGAACCATTCGTGTCCTTCCTTCCATACATCAAAAGTCACCCTTCACACGCACACCAGAGAGGAATCTACTCCAGCTGCCGGGGGAGGGGGGGGCTCTCATTGACCTAATACCAGTTTTGCCAGAACCCTCTCAGCTGCTCAGGAGGGATTAAGGTTCTGCACCATGAGGAATGTTGCCCCCTCATCTCCGCAAGGGAACTGTGGCTGGCACATCTCGGGCGGGGGGGGAGGGACAAGATCTTCCCAGCGTGCATCAGGCCAGACATCGGGCCCATTTTGGAAAGGTGGTGGGAAATCTGTCGCTGGAATAACTGGATCAGGGAAGATGCCCCGGTGCCCACGGGAAGAGTTGGCAGAGGAGAGGATTCAGACACGGAGGAGGCAGAGAGGCACCTAATGCACCACGGCGGAGGTGCACATCGTATTCATGCCACAGGCTCGACTGCCCCGGTACAGGTAATAGTAGCCCTGGAGGAGACACAAAGAAGCAAGTCAGTTAGCAGCGAAACCCTCTGCTCTCTGCCAGGGCGTGCAAGAACAGGGTGTGTGTGTGTGCATACATGCACAGACAAGCACAGATGCCATGTTCACACCTGTCAGACCATTCATTTGTCTTCTGTGTCGTTTTTGCTGGTTCTCTTAGGTACAGACGATGACTCCTACCCTTGAGCTTTGTAGTGTTGCACCCCTTCAGTAGTGATACAAGAAAATGAGTTGGACCCCACAGGTCAGTTCTGGTCGCAGTCTCCTCCCTACCCCCACCCCCGCCATGCAGGTACCCTTCCCTTGACACCCAAGGCTCAGAAGGATAAATTAGCTCTTTTGTTCTCCTGTTATCAATTTCTTCTTTAGTCAGCTGTAATTACTGTCTAATCTGGGAGTTCATCAAGGCTGTGTGTGTTTAAGACTTGCCAGCCTTATGAGGAGAAAAACACGTCTGGAAAAACTGATGCCAGCTGCTCACAGATGATGAGACAGGGTAGGTTACAAATAAATAGCATGTGAAGATCCAATGGGCACTATCTAGCTCTAGTTTCTATGGCACTGGGAAACGCTTCACTTTCAACGTGTCTGATGCTCCTACACAACTCAAGTGCACATTAATGGGATTGCTGCTGCAATCATGCAACCCCTGACACACGAGGCAAGTATTTTTCAACACATTACAATTCTGCAAGTTACCATCTTGAACTGCAGAAGTCATCGGCCGGGAAGTGGCTCCTTTTTTCCTCAAGGCGGTGTTTGAACACATCGCTACAGAATTGTCTTCTACCAAGCCAGACATTGACCTATCTAGACGTCTACTCTGACTGGCACTGAAACAGTTGAACATGTGCTATCATACTATATTTATAAGGACATTCGTTCCTTAGATGTCACCCCAATTCTATCCAATTTTCCAGGTAGATCCAACAAGCTTTATATGTCCCTTTTGCTTTCAGATCGCTCTAAGGAAACCACCTTTAAGGTGGCCAAATTTTGTGCCTTAAGCTTGTTTAATAAGGAAGCACCTGGTTAAATCTTCTTGTGCGTGGAACTTAGTTTATGGTGTGGTTATGGTTTTACTGTGTGTGTGTATTTCCTTGCATGTGTTGCGGGCTGTTGATTATGTCATTGCCGATCGAGGATCGTAATAAAATTAAGTAAGTACTTTGACTTGCTGTACCTCTCTGGCAGAGAAAGGTTTCCCCCCACCCGGCACCTTTTTTAACCTGAGACCTTCTGCATGTGAAGGAGGTATTCTACCACTGAGGAACAACCTCTCTGTAAACAGACAGGGCTCTTTCCCCTCTCTGCATGGCCTTGACTGAAAACTCCTGGGCTGTGGTCACACACGCTAAACAATCCACTTTCAAATGCACTTTCCAATTGGATTTTGCCAGTTCACACAGTAAAATCCAGTTGGAAAGTGCGCCGAAAGTGGATTATTTCGTGTGTGTGACTGCAGCCCTAGCTACTGCTTCTTGAGAAGAAGGGTGGGTTTTCCTCTCTTCCCCCTATTTCTACTTGTGGATCCCCTCAGTTCCCACTGCAGTGGGAGGGAAGGGGAGGCAACTGAGGCTGGGAATAGGGAACAGCTGCCCAGACTTGCCTGCTCTCCCCAGTCCTTGCCCCAGCTGTTCTTGATAGCCCAGTAGGGAAGGCGGCCACCTGTAGAACAAAACGAACAGAAACAGAGAAACGCACACAATCAGGAATGGGCCAGCCTCTTGGCAGCTGATCTGTCACAAAGCAAAACAGCCCGGAGGCTCCCTGAATCAGGGAACGGGGGAGGGGGAGTCAGCTGATGGACTCCAAATGACCTTAACGCTAGACGTCAGTGGTCCACCCTGTATTGCCGCTCAGGATTGGAAATGGAACCCGTGCACAAAAATCCAGAAGATCACTACCAAAGGGGGGGGGGAATGGGACGACGGACAGACACAAAGTGTAGAACAGAGGTCCATCAGTGGTTATTAGCCACAAGGTATAGATAGGAACTCTCAGGCTTGGTGTATTCTTGGTGCTTGGGGGGGGGGGCACAGTGGGAGGGCTCCTAGTGTCCTGGCCCCTCTGGTGGACCTCCTGATGGCACCTGGTATTTTTGGCCACTGTGTGACACAGAGTGTTGGACTGGATGAGCCCTTGGCCTGATCCAACATTGGCTTCTCTTATGTTCTTAACAAGAGCTATCTCTGCAGGACCTTTTCATTCATTGATTTGGGAGCAACCCCACCCATGCCCACTCAAAGCAGCTGGATACGAGTCCAGTAACATCTTAGAGACCAACCAGAATTTCAGGGTATGAGCTTTCGACCATCAACTGCAGAGTGCAGGGGGTTGGACTAGATGACCTACAAGATCCCTTCCAACTCTAACATTTTGTGATTCTAAGGCTGTCCTACTGCAGACCAGCAGCATGGCTGCCCTGTGAAGCCACCCCAAACAGCCACTTACGTGAGCCATAGCCCACCAGGAGGACTGCGTGGTCAATCATCCAGGGATTGCAGAACAATATGAAGGGGTGGGAGACACCTCTCCTGTAGAACTGGAAAGAGAATAGACATCCAGAGGTCATTCTGCACTCTTGCCCCTATGTTATACATTCTGCAGGGTTCACATTTCTCCCATTTGCAGGTTTTTGTTTGTTTGGGTAAAAATGAAAGTACAAAGAACAAAAGATAACCAAGCAACAGCATCAGCCCCACACAACTCCTAGTTTCCGGTCCTCTGATCCAACCCCAAATGGCCTTTCACATGACACAGCCCTGCCTTCCTGACAAAAAAAGGGGAGAATCCCCCAGTTTGTAAAAAATGAATTTGAAGCTATACACACACACCCAGGGCTATTTTGGGGCAGGAACTGCTGTTTCTGCTGTTGGGTGTGGCCTATTATGCACACACCCAAAAGAGGGACGCCAACTTGCACAATATATTCTATTAGCAGAATGAGGCTAAAACACAAGCAGTATTTTAGAGACACCCGCTGATGCTGAGCCTGGAAGAGCCCTTTTACAACCCCTACACCAGAAGGGTGAATACTAGAGTTGCCAACCTCCCGGTGGTGGCTGGAGACTTCCTGGGATTACAGCTGATCTCCAGGTGAGAGAGAAAACAAACGCTTTGGAAGGCGGACTCTGTGGCAATTATATACCGCACTGAAGTCCCTCCCCTCCCCAAACCCCATGCTTCCTCATCCTCTACCACCAGAACCTCCAGGTATTTCCCAAACCGGAGCTGGCAGCCCTAGACTGAATACTGTTCTTCACTGCAGAGGAACACAGCACGGTCATCCTTGGGATCCCTCACCTGCATGCCAAAAGCGTTCAGCGCGATGGAGACAGGGCCGTTCGTGGCCAGCCAGGTAGCAATTTCTGCAATGGACCGAGGTGGGGGAGAAGATTAGGCACAGGGCTGTTCATATGCAGCACAGACATGAAAAGGGGGAAGGGGGGGGTTAACCCTAGAGGACGCACCGGAGTCTGTAGTCCCTCAAAATAGTTTCATTACTACATTCCCCAAGTTTCCAGATTTTGCGTACGCATAGATACGCTTGCATTCATTATATATCTGTGTCACCTTTCTGCCTGACATTACTAGATCTGTGCGTGCCTCGGTGTACCCACCTTCCCAGCCCTGCTCACATCGGGGACTTGCTGACTTTTTCAAAGTTTTCCCCAAGAAGCCTCTCAGTACAAAATGCCCTCCCTCAAACTACTTTGGTCCCTTAGGGAAAGGGTGTCTACTGGGCCCAGAGGATACCCAGGCAGCTGCACCCCCATTCCGCAGCACAGTCCGTCCCCCCCAACCGCCTTTCCATATGCCAAGGGTCCCAATGGTCAGTGTGCCCCTTCCCCCGCACGGGCATCCAAGACACACGCACCGTTCTCGTCCCGGGAGAGCTCCACGGAGCTATTGATGTAAACGGCCACCTTGTCCTTTGAGAAGCCACACTTCTGCGCGTAACCCTCATAGCTGTAGTCACCTTCTGTCTCTAGGCCACCTG